ATCGTGGTGGTTATGTTCGTTTCAACCCCTTCGTACACAGGCATAAACTCAGGTGACTGGCGGTTCACCTTAACGAACTTGACGTGCACAAGGCTTCGCCCAGCTTGAAGGTCCTCTCGGTCGCCGGTAGATACGATCGACTTGAACTCGGCAGGCGGATTGTCCACAAAGTCATCCACAGTCACCGACCCAAGGGACACCTCGGCCGCCATGTCATACAGTCGAGTGTAGAAGGAGAGATCGAACCGTTCCGCAACCAGCTCCACGAGGAGAACGTCGGGAGCCGACCGACTCGGATCGCTTCGATAGAGCGAGCCCTTCAGGGTGTCCACCTTGAAGTTGAACTCGAAACTGCGCTGCTGCATCTTGACTTGGTCACCATGAGTTCCGTCCTCGGCATCCTCGAAATCGTCGTCGTCGTCATCAATATCCTCTAAGATTACGGCGCTGGAAGATTGGAGGAATGGAAAGGCGGATTGTCGGCGTTCGCGCGTCTTGAGCGCCGACCGACTGGACGAAGTACTGAGGAGTCGCGGCCGTGAGGAATGGCGTGAAGAAGGCCTTCCTTGAGCGGCTGCAGGAGGCGGTGTCGCTGTTTGCTCGTCTTGGTGGTTAAACTTTGGTATGGCGACATCAATGATCTGCATCAGATTCTTGTACTTGGCATCCGATACAGTGGCATGCAACATGGGCAAGTGGCCAGAGACCTTGAACTTGGTGAGATTGGGCGCTTTGGGCAGAATTGACATTTCCACCACGAAATCGACGTTGATCTCCTCAACCACATGTAGCTGCGATCCGCCGGATTTGGTGGTGAGCTGAGATTTGGCTTCCTCAATCGAGGGCCCAATCAGGACTTGAGTAGAGGTGAACTTGACGATGAACCTGTCGTACATGGCAGACTCTAGGCGCTTGAAGTCTTCTTCGCTGTAAGACTGGCGCTGCTTCGACTGGATCTCCTTCAATGTCTCTTCATCCACCAGCTGGCTGTTCACATGCATATGACCTGCATCCACAACAAGACAGGTGGATTCCTTCGCGGTGATGCTCACGGGGACAATAATGAGGGGCGCCTGCAAATCCAGCTCGGCATTGATCGTCTTGTGCTCCTCAAGCGCAAACTCCAAGCCTACCCGCGTCTGCTCACGGATGCCCTCAACGGTGGCACCAGCAGTCTCCATCAAAGCTGCGATAGACTCCATGTGCCTCTCGGGAGGCCGGAAGAAGTCGACAACTCCCACGACAAAGTTGGGGTTCCAGACAACCTCCAGAGGCTTCAGCTTACCGACGACGGCAATGTCTCCTTCGCGTTCTAGAGGGTTCTGCTCAATCTCAAACTCGAAGAAGGGCTCCTCGTCGGTTGTCTCCAGCTCCTCGAGGGAGATTGGCTTCCGCGTCTGGGCATCCTTGACTCGGACAATCTCTGGATACAGCGAGTCGGGAGTCGTTCCATCATTGACTCGCAAACCGCCAAGGCTGACACTAGCCAGCACCGAATCTTTCCGCTGCAGAGCCTTGGCCTTGAAGACGTCAAAGTGCAGGCTCAGGAGATCCATGGTGTTGTGATGGGGGTTCTTCTTGAGGGTAAAGCTGCCGGCGCCGAGGGCCGCCTCGATGCACAAGTTGACGGCCTCGCGGGGAACGTCGACAGATTCCGCGAGCGCAGTCTTTTCATCCCAGTCAATCATTTCATAGAGCTCCTTTCGCTGCTCTTCCGTCATCTGTGTGTTTTCTTCGTTTTGCTCAATGGTGCCCGTCGGCTTGGAACCCCACATCCACGCAACCCAGCCTTGCTGCTGCGGCTGTTGAGGCTGTCTGCTGAGGGCATCAGCATTCTCCTTCTTCAGTTGATTCCGGGCCAATGATCGCCAGAATCTCAGGTCCTCGTAGCTCAATTTGAACTCGAGCTTTTCGAGGTCGCTGGCTTCGTCGGGTTCAAGCTGCAGCCCCTGCTTCTTCTTCTTGAAGAGCTCAATGTACCGCCTGCGGTCATCCCGACGCTCTCTGAAGTAATCCCACGACCACCTGCGGTTCCTGTCATGAATCTTACTCAGGATGGCGTTTCCTGCGAACAACAGCCAGGCGCGCGGATCCTCTTTCGGAGTGACTCCCTTGGGCTTGAGCGCCTTGTATTCTTGATGGCGAATGAAGTAGTGGAACAGGTCGACCATCATCAGGGCATCGCGATACTGGTCGTCATCCAGCACGACACCAATCTCGTCGAAGAGGAGCTTGGCCTTGAATTTGGGCGCGCGAATGTCGCCAGACTTGTCCAACTCAATCTTAGCCTGTCCGCTGACGGGCTTCAATATGAATTGATTGCTCGAATTGGAGTCGTGGATGTTCTCAAGCATGCTCCTGAACTTGTCGACCATTTCTGTGTGAGACATGGTTTCTTGGGCGGCATTGGGGGCTTCGCGGCCACTACTGAAAAGCTCCGAATCCGTGTTCCAGTACACAGCCAACGAGCCCAGCGTCGCGAGCTTGTGCGTGACGGTAGACGACTCCTGGATGAAGGTCGGCTTCCATTGGCCATCGGCACTGACGGCGCTGAACTCCTCGAGGGTGACGCCCAGCGCAAAGGGATGGCCCGGGGCGGAGATGGAGTCTTCGTAGCGGATGTGGATGTTCTTGACGGTGATTTGCAGATTGTCGGTAATCTTTGTGGCCAGGCTCTGGGCGAAGCTCTGGTTCTTCTTCTGTTCCTCCTGACTCATGCCGGCCTTGTTACGAGCCTTGATGAGCTCGGCGCTCTCGAGCTTCTCCATCTTGAGCCTCTGCTGCCTGCGCTTCTCCTCTTCCTCGTCGTATTCGGCCTCTTCCCTGGGGCTCGCGAGCAGGTAGACATCCTGGATGAAGACCTTGACGGGGGCGCCGCGGATGTTGGACCAGGGGATGTACAGCGTGAGCTCGCCGAGGTGGCCCTCAATGACGTTGATGGGCAGCTTGAGCTGATCGAGAGCTTCCCGGCGCAGCTCGAGGTTGCGGAGCTTAACGTCGCCAGACCAAATGCCAACCTTGAGCTGTGTGGGATCGAAGTTCTTGACGTACATGCCCAGGAAGCGATTGAGCAGGCCGGCGACGAGTCCTTCCAACATGCTTGCGGCGGTTGTGCCGTAACCCGGGCTGGGGGAAACGGAGGTTGGAGAGTCTCTGTCGGTCGAGGATCTATCGGCGGGACATTGGCGGGATCTGGGCTGTGCACAAAGCGTGCTCGCCGGCCGAGGGTCGCGATCAGCTGTTTCTGTGTTCTAGCGGTTCAGGAGCAGAGGACGGACGGTCTCTAGGGTTCGGGATTGAAGGGGCGCCGAGGGTGTGAAAATCGTGGTTTCGAGGTGGGGAGATTGGGCGCGAACTGGTGGTGGTTTGAGTGGATGGCCGAAGCTGCGAACCAGTGCGGAGTGCGGAGTGCGTCGATGCGTGGAAGCCCGACCTGGAGGAGGGGCAAGATTGAGTTACGAGAAAATGGAAATGAGACGGCTTTTCTTGTGGCCTCTAGGGTTGATGCCGCAGGCGTGAGTTGAGTGTGGTGAAATGGTGACGAGGATGCTTCAGGTCAGGGCAGAGAGATAGAAGGAAATTGAGGACTTGAGTGTAAAGAGAACCTGAGGTAAACATCGAGACAAGTGTTACTCAGCTTCTCGGCAGGATCAACCTAACCTACCCGACGGTACCTACCTACTACTATTCATCACGATGATGATCGCAGCAGCCGCAGCGCCCTCAGTCTCACCCGCGGACACCTACAGGCCCGCTACAGCGCTGCAAGGCTGCCACCACAGCGCTCGGCCTGCTAAGCAGCCCCTGCAACTATAGCGGCTGCTGCAAGCTTGAGTGCCTCCAGCTGGGCAGGAGCTGGCCAAAGAGGTTCAATGACGGAATGGGATGACGTAAGGGACTGCCCCACCATTGCGAGTTTAGTACCTGGACCAAGTGCTAACATCTAGTAACTTGAATTGCTCACTGTCCAATTTCGAGAACAGGGCACTGAGAAGCAAGATTCCCAAGGGTTGACAACTTGGTCAGAAATGGTTGGTTGAGCGGTTCTCCTGCTGTCTAAAGATGCTGCAGCCGGTGCTAAATTGGCCAGTGTTATCCCATACTTAGGTTGTTGATGCTGTCAACTTCCTCAAGACGGCGGGTGGCTGATTTCCTGTTTTGGCCCAGGAAGCCGAGTTCTGGGGCAAGCCGCGACCTAACCTGCACGAGCGGCTGCTTCATGCGCGCAACAGGTGCATCGCTTGAGCGTCCGTCTGTCATGCAAGAGATGAGATGGACTGTCATCAAAGGTGTCCCCTTGCGTAGACAGTCGGTACTATAAAACACAAACGGACATCAATCACTCGCATGACTCTGTCAAACCCATGTTTCCCGTCTTCAACTGAAATAGACGAAGAGTTTTCACAGCAATGACCGTACTGTACAGCATCATCACAGTCCCCATAGCATCTTCTATGTATTACTTCTGCCCCAAAAGCCCCGTTTCCATTCTCCAACCAACAATCTCCAGTCTCAATCAGTTTCTCTCCTCTGTCAGTCAATAAACCTGAAAGCACAGCCACTCAGATGCAGGTCCTACAGCCTCTCCCGAATCCCGTCCCACGCTTTCACGCGCGTGGCCATTACGTCATGGCTGTTTTCCCCGAATGGATGTCATCATAGCATCACTGCCTCTGGAGCTCCTGCGATGATCGCACCCATCATTATGTGACACCCAACTGTTTCTATCGTGTGTGGATTTTGCAGCAAATTGCATGATGAAGCTACTGGAGCTATGCGATACCATGAATCCGAATAGCCGTGCCGAGCTGGAGCACCGCCGAAACTGGATGAATTCTCCATATTACTCGTAGCCCAGCTCTTGCCGACAAAAGGAAGCCAGAGGGCACATTTGCAACTGGGATGTAGCTTCGCCTTTTCCAAACCACTCCAGTAACCATCTTCCTCGTATCCTTCCATCTGTTAAAGAAAATATATCAACTGCGCGATTCGACGTCATAATGTTCAGGTCTTCGCTCCTTCGAGCTTCAGAAAGGGCGTTTGGCGCCAGACTCGCCGGCCTCAAGCCATCATCACCAATTCGACAGCCATTGTACCGAATAGACGCAACGAGAAACGCCATCCGCCTCTCCAGCTCTTCCAATGGCCCTCCGAAACCTCCAACCGACAAAGACCAGAAAAATCCAGCCGAGAGGAAGCTCGAGCCAAGACCAGATGTTTCCGCCACTAGCAGCGTTCGAACCCTCCTGGAGCCCGACGAGGGCGGCTCGAAAGATACACACAACATGAACTCGAGTCTCCAGCAAGATGTTGTACGTACAAGTGAGAGACGATGATTGTGCCGGTAACTGGGCTAAGAACTTTGTATAGCATCTCGTCAAGGATACTTTCCGACTGGACACCGTCCCGCGAGAATCTCACATCCTCGGTCTTACAGGGACGCTGCCTTATCTCGCTACCTCTCTCTCGACAGTTTACCTGGCCGTCAACCTCAACACCGAAATCCCCTCAATCAACAAGTTCTACAACACCATCTTCCTAGAACACGGCACGGCGCAGTATCTCCTCGACCTCCTCGAGCCGCTACAGCTCGGCTATGGCGCCGTCATCATCTCATTCCTCGGAGCCATCCACTGGGTATGGAACCAAACATTCCACGCTGCCAGCTGTATCTCGCCTATTTCTAACCCATCAGCAGGGCCTCGAGTACGCTGAAAAGAAGCCCCAGCACGACCGCACCCGCTTCCGCTACGGCATCGGCCTCCTCGCCCCCATCGCCGCCTGGCCCACGCTCCTCATGCCCGTCGAATACGCCCTGACGGCCCAGTTCGGCGCCTTTGTCGCCCTCTACTACGCCGACTCCAGGGCCACGCGCCTCGGCTGGGCGCCGACCTGGTACGCAAAGTACCGCTTCCTGCTCACCGCCATGGTTGGCCTGGCCATCTTCATCTCGCTCGTCGGACGGGCCAAGATTTCGCAGAAGGGCGCCCTTAGGAAGGAGAGCATGGAGGCCAAGTTGACGCAGCCGGGACTGGCGGACACGCACACGAACTGGAAGAAGTTAGAAGAGGAGGAGAAGGAAAGGGTTCGGAAGGAGAAGGAGCAGAAGGCCAAGGAGGAGGAGGAGGCGAAGAAGAAGAAGAAGAAGCAGGAGAAGAAGAAGGAGAAGAAGGACGGCAAGGATGATGCAGCAAAGAACAAGAAGGATGATGAGGACGAGGAGAGCGAGGAAAAGAAGAAAGATGACAAGCAAGATGACAGCAACGAGGAGAGCGAGGGCGACAAGGAAGAAGGAAAGGATGACAAGGACGAGGGCTCAGACAAGGAGGAGAAGAACAACAAAGAGGACGACTCCCAAGACGACAAAGAGGCCAAGGAGGACGACAAGCCCAAGGATGACGAGTCCAAGGATGAGTCCAGCAAGGACAAGAAAAAGTCCGACTGAGAGAGATGGGCCAGCAAGGAGCGAAAGGAGTCTCAAGTTCACGTCATGTATGCATAGCCATCAATTAGCCTTATTCATGTTACTTCCAACAACTTTGACATGGGACATTATATGTCGGTGAAGAATAGCCTAGGTCATCAATTGAACAAGTCCAAGAGTACTAGGTAAACAATAACCTTACAGACGTGGTATTAATGGGCAGTAAAGAAAACCATATGAGGGGCCAACTACCCAGACAAAGGTCGTCATCCATTTTCATCCCACAGGCATAAGTAGTATGTAAGTAAGCTTCCATGTCCGCCTCCAAGTCAGCCTTCCCCCCTAATAAGATTGTTCCCAAACTCATATGATAACTCGAGCCTCAAAAGCAATTATATCTGCGGCATACCATCTCTCACATTCTATCAACTAGTCTTTCGTCTCCGTAACAAGCGGGAGGGGGGTCAAGGGGGGTATTGGGGGGGATGGTCAATTCCAACGCCTAAAAAATGCACACGAGACCTCTTCAAGTCAAGCCACGTAGCGAGACTCAAGAGATGCTGTCCGTTTCACCAGAATTCGTAGGCCATCATAGACGTATAGAGAAAGCTCGAACATTATGCTTTGTTAATCGTACTCGTCAATCGTTACTTCTTCCCCCTCTAAGGTCTAGCAAATGACTGCTTGGCCTTTACGCTCATTAGCAACGAGGGTCAGGGCAACGGATATTGTCAGGGGATACTATTCCTTACCTTCATCTGTTCGATCCGGGCCTTCAACTGACTTGTCACCTCGGCTGCTCGCCTCCAGCTCTCGGCTCCGTTGGAGCCCGACTGTGGCAACGACGACACTGGGCGGTCTCTGGCCGACGTCAACGTTGAGTCGCTGCCATCGTCATGCGCCGCAAGGTTCCTAAATCCTCGCGCAGGCGATCCGCGCCCAGAGGAGCCGGTGCTGCCTGCATAACGCAGCTCCGGGCTAAACTTGTTCCGCGGATAGGGAGCATCGCCATTCTCCCTCTCTTCAGACAAATTGCTAGCGAAGCTCATCCTATTACGCGCGCTTGGGGCAGCCATATGGTCTCGATACATGGGCGCGTCCTCGAACGTTGGCGATGTGATGCCTGTAAAGAGGGACCAAATGTTAGCGCAGTCTGCACCAGACATGCGGAAATGGATGTCATCAAACTTACCAGCCGACGCATTCAGGCTTTCAGCACGGCTAAGCGCCTTCTTGAGGCGCTCCAGCTCACGCCGTAGCCTCTCGTTGGTTTGCTCGGCAGCCTCAGCATCGCTCCGAGCCCGAACCAGTTGAGTCTCCTTGGCCTTGATGCTCAAGACGTCTCGGGTGTGGTCCTCAATGAGGCTGGCATTCTGGTTCTTGAGTTCTTGAATCTCCGACGTGAACTTGCTGCGCTCTTGCCGCAGGTCATCGATATGTCGAGTTAGGCGGTCATTGGCGGTACGAAGCTCTTCCAGCTCAGCCCGCTCAATGGCAGAGAGGCCACTTGAGGGAGGAGGTGAATCCGAAGGCATCTGCACCGGAGCCGAAACGGGCTTGGCCAGGGAGCGCCCTGTAAGGCCACGCGAGGGCGCCGCTGCCTTGGGCGGTGGTGGTGTTGGCGGCAGAGGGTCCTCCTCCGGCATGATGGGGCCAGACCTGCGAGGCGATGAAGCCCCGGAAGAAGCCCCCACGGTTCGCTTTTGAGGAGCCTTGAGCCCACCCGTCTTGGGCAGGCCCAGCTTGCTTCCCGCAACCTTTGTCGCGGGAGGTGCCTCGGCCGGTGCAGCAGCCGCCGGTCTCTTGACACCCGCCGCTGGCTTCTTGGCTCCGACGACCTTCTTCGGTGCCGCCGCTGGCGCTGGCTTCGGGGCGGGCTTTGGCTTCTCCTTTGCCTTGACCTCGGCCGCCTCGAAGAACTCCTTAATCTTGGTCTTTCGAATGTCGTCCAAGCCTTCCAGGTTGGGTGTCATGGCACGCTCGCCAATGATCTTCATGACGGTTCCCAGGATCTCGGCACCACCATCTCGCAGGGCCGGGCTCGATTCCGACAGCAGCTTCTTTCCAGCCTCGCATATCTGGGCAATCTCGGGCTTGGTGGGCACCTCGCGCGTGGTCCGGAGACAGCGAATGAGGAACTTCATGGTACCCTCCTTGACCTGTGGGTTTTTGTTGCCGAGGAAGGCGAAGATGTCCTCAAGGCAGTCGGATAGCGACGTCGCCTCGAAGGTGGCATCAAGTGCTGCGCCCAAGGCGTCGGCAACCGTAGCCTTCTTCTCTTTCAGTCGTTCCATAATGGGCTGCATAACGGTGGCACGATGCTTGCCAAACGCTTGTCGCAGACCCTTTGCCAGTAGCTCGATGCACTGGGCCGCCTGGGTCACGACAGCGACGTTGGCATCCTTCATGCACTTGGCAAGGCCCCTGATGATTTCGTTGAAGTCGCCATCTTTGATGCGAGGGACGTTGATTACGGCATATAGCCCTTCGACGGCTTCTTTTCGATCTTTCCACTTGGACGAGGCGAGAAGCTCGCTGAAATTGGGCGGCACCTTCTTGAGCACGTCTTCGGGCTCGGCCAAGGCGAACGCGTCGATTTCCGCCGGCTCGTCCGCCTCCTCCTCTTCACCCTCTTCGCCCTCCTCACCACCACCGCCACCAGACTCAGCTTGCTCCTGCTGACTGCGCAGCAGCCGCTCTTGTTTCGGAGTGCCCTCGGCCTTGACCTTTTCGAACTGCGCCTCCAGATCGGTCTGCTGTGTAGGTTTCAAGTCTCCCCAGAACATGGGCTTCATGGCCTCGCGCAGCCACCGGTAGAGCTCCACCGCAAGGGCAGTGGCTTCCGCACGAACGTTCTTATCAGCAGCACCAAAGGCCTTCGGCAAGGCCTTGAGAATCGGCTTCGGGTCGACAATCTTGCAGCCATAGTTGTGGACAATCTGCGTCAAAGCGTTGAGTGTAGCAGCGACGTTCTTGGGCACCTTGTTGCCAAGGCCGGGTAGCACCTCTTCGACAACGGGACCCGCCGTATCCAGCTCGATGAACAACAGTAGGGCTTCGAGGGAGTTTTGCTTGATGGCCGGCCGCGTTGAAGACAGACACTTCTCGACTATGGGGCTAATGGCAACGCCGCGAGTACGCAGGGCACAGTCTCGTCCACCATATTTGAGGAACTCGCACAGAGCAGCGATGGCTTCTTGCTGGGCGGCCACGTTGGAGTCGGCGACGGCAGACTTCCACAGGCCCGGGTCGTTCAGAAAGGGTCGGAAGCAGGGGTCGGACTCGTCCGGTGATTTGGCAAACTGTTTGGCAACATCTTCATAGGCCTGCTTGCGTACTTTCCAGTTCTAGGTCGAGAGAATAATCAATGTCAGCCAAAGGGAGAAAAGCCATGACGTGTAGACCACATCGGGGCAGCCGTGATGCTTCGCAAACAAGTGATTCGTACCTTGTGTGAAAAGCGGTCGGGCAGCGGCAAGGAGCTAAAGTCCTCCTCTTGGTCGGCCATGGCGGCGAGAGAGGGACGTGAGAGGTATCTGAACGCGGACGATGTCTGGGAATGCTTCGGCTCCGAGGTATCTGCTGGCCGGTCATCGATTAGATTGACGATTCTGCGGATGAGCTTCTTGAACGGGTGGTGACGCCGTCGCGACTCCATTGTGCAAATGGGCCTCGCGGCGGCATGAGGCTGGTCACAACGGGGAAGACGGGGAGACGAGACGCAGACATACCACAGACGATGCAAAGCAGGGAGCACGAACAACTTAAGTTCGCGTGAGGCCGTCAGGGAGCAGACGGGCCAAGCGGAAATGCCCAGGAGGCTACTTTGTACTTTTTCTGCCAACGGCCAGTGCCGGGGATCGCGGCCGCAAGTGTCAGTTACCCTGCCTTCGCCGAGCTGAGCGACCGGGATCAGGATTGGCAAGAATGCGGCGATGCCTCTCGGCGGACCCTGCGCCCGTCTGTGCCTGTGCCGGTGTGTATAAAAAAATGTGAAAAGACGGGACAGATGCACAGCGAGGCGGAACGGCGATGCCTCGGTCAGGGTCGGTGGGAGCTGTGATCAAGTGCTCGGTGGTGTGTCTCGTGGAAGATGCTGGGATGCAAATGGCAGCAGCGCGACTCGAGGCAAGCAGAAAGAAGAAGGAGAAAATCACAGGCTGCGATACCGGATCTCGTGATGCCTGTCGTGGATGCAGAACGAAGAGAACTGACGCTGTCTCTGTCTTTGTGCTCTGGTTGGCGCTGAGCTATGGCTCATCCGTGGAGGGTTCCAGGTTGCCCACAGCATCAGCCGTCGAGCCAGCCAATCACTGCGCGGCCGCAAAAAGTCAACAAATCTCCCCCATCGCCTGCTCGACCCAATCAGCGGCCGGGCCTGGCAGGGCTTTCTGAACCAGGTGCGAATCACCAGATGGAGGTACTGCCCGATAAATAGACAAAAAGATGGACAGTCTTGTTGGTGATTTTGCCTGGAAATGCATCTCGAGCTATAATTGCTGTAATCCTCATACCACAATGCGTAGGAATCTTCATTTCGCTAGAGTACCTTATTCTGTTCTTCTACAAACGTCTCCTCGAATAACACAGGAAATACCTACACTATGAACCTGCAGACACAGCAAAGCACCCGGGAGGTCCCTTGAACATACAAGTGCATACTACCTACCTGAGGTAGCGCCAGGCACGGCCAACTTACACATTTTGCGCAAACGGCCCCCATCAAATGTCCCCGGATCGACCCCGCGGCAGGACGAACGTCAAACTGCGCCTATCCATAGAGCTTCTGAACACTGCGAAAACCGCAGCAGAAGCCGGCATGATCGCAGCCGAATGCACTGTAACGTCCATCCAGCAAAACCACCAGCAGCCAGCCGATGACGCAAGGGAGCTGCAGCAGGTGTCAAATTCTCATAATGTAGGTACCTTAGGTCACTAAGCACGTGTAAATGTTCCCTCCAGTGCTCGGTGACAGCTGCTTCACCGCCTTCTTTACCCCACCATGAACAATGCCGAGTCACGTGTAGATAAGATAAGCCCGCCGAAGCTGCAACGCGTCAAACAATTTCACAGGCAGCCTCGCTCTGGCAAGGCTCCACTCATCCGCAGCTTCATTGTCATCGCTCCAAGGAGCAGCCGGAACTTTTCCATCTGAGCAGATGGAGAGGCATTAGCGATTGTGGTGAATATCCTGGCATCTCCCATACGGTCGCAACATGGAGGGCTCTTCGCATCCGTCCTTCTTTCCTCTCAACGCCAAGACTGCCGCAGACTATTCCTCGTCCGAGTCAGATTCCGACGATCCAAGTGTGCCCGGGCTCGACGGCGACGACAACGACTTTGGAGACTTTAATCCCCGCAAGAAGAGGCGTGTTGGTGGAAACAGCAAGGAGAAAGCGGCGCTGGGCATTTTCGGCTCCGATAGCGACGACGACAATCCCAACGCGCGCTGGAAGCGAAAGACACTGAGAAGCAAAGGCGTTAGCTTCGTGTCGACTGCTGCCGAGGGAGCTGGACAAGATGCGAGCAACGAATCGGAAGACGAAACACGGCCTCTAGGCCTTGGCATGAATAGCCGCAATGACGATGAGGACGAGGACGAGGACGAAGATGAGGATGAGGATGGCGACAGGCCAGCAGGACTCGGGCTCGGCAACGCGGCCAAGCACCTGCGCTTCACAGCTGGCGAAAGATTTCGCAAGACGAATGCGCCGAACGATTCGAGCACACAGTCATCCTTCAAGACCAATTTCAGCTCCGGTGGCGTCCTCGGCGGTGGCTTCGTGCCTTCATCCGCCACGGAGCCCGTACTCAAGGAGACGAAGAATGGAAACGACACGCCACGAAACAAGCCCCAAATGAGCGCTTTCACTTCAAAAGGCAAAATTAACGCCAAGTCATTTGGTGCGCGGATGATGGCCAAGATGGGCTACGTCGAGGGCAAGGGTCTGGGCAAAGAAGGCGAAGGACGAAACATCATCATCGAAGCCAACCTCCGACCCCAGGGAATCGGTCTTGGCGCCGTAAAAGAGAAAACGGAGCAGGAGCGTCAGGAAGAGAAGAGACAGGCGCGGCTACGGGGAGAGGAGGTCGTCGACTCGGAAGAGGAAGAAAGGGAGCGCAGGAAGGCCAAGAAGAAGGCCCGAGGAGCCGTGGCTTACAGTAGTGCTGGAAGCACCCCAATGCGGCAGAGAACCAAGTATCTTACGGCCGACGAAATCAAGAAGAAGGCACCCGGCTTGAACATCCCGGAGGCCTTTGCCCCCATTCTCGACATGACCGGCCCCGGGGGCAAGCTGCTCACGTCGACGAGCGGCATCATGACCCCATCATCCGGTGGCCCTGAGTCGGCCGAACTGATTGAGGCGAGGAAGCTGGCTCAACGCGCACAGTCAGACCTACTGGCTTTCTCAGAAGAATGGAGGAGCCTGGAGTCGCGCAAGACGTGGGTGAATCTGGAGCTCAAGCAGAGGGAGCAGGAGATTGAAGATTTGCGGTCCGATTTCGAGAGACTGAAAGCCTTTGCCAACGTTGTATCTGAGCAACTTATCGGCGCGACGGAGTGGGGTCAAGTCATGAGTGCTCTTCAGACAGCTGTTGATGCCGGATCAGCGAGCGACGCCATCGCCGACATTGCGGTCGCTGCGATTCATCCGTTTCTACGCAGCGCCGACTGGGACCCAATGGCCGAACCCTCGCGATTCGCATCCGACCTACAGAAGCTGTCGGGCCTCTTTAACAAATCTGCAAACGCCAATCAGTCGGTAAACAAGTGGAACTCCTCCGCCGCTCAGGACGATGGCGTTTATCGAGCACACCACAAGGCCACTACGCCCTACGAGACGATGATGTACAAGAACTGGCTCCCCCGAGTATTGACGGCAGTCCGCTCATGGGATCCGCTGAATCCCACGCCGATGCTCAACATCATGGAAAGCTGGAAAGATTTGTTGCCCCCATTTGTCCGAGCGCAGTTGATGGATAATGTAGCCCGGAAGCTAGAAACGGCCGTGTCCGACTGGAACCCCAAGAAGAAGCGGCAAAGCCACCATCTGCCACACACCTGGCTATTCCCTTGGCTGCAGTACCTTCCTCCCTACCATCTGGATCCGAAGGGTACTGGTCTCGTTGCCGATGTCAGGAGGAAGTTTAGGCACCTCATTGACGCGTGGGAATTTGAGAGAGGAGTTGTTCCTGGGCTGATGCAATGGAAAGACGTCCTGGGAGACCAGTGGCGGCCGCTCATCATGTCGCACGTCTTGCCATCAATGGGCAAGTACTTGCGCACCAACTTCCGCGTCGACCCGGCGGAGCAGGAGCTGTATCTCCCCGTGCTGGTTGGCATCATGAAGTGGAACCAGGTCCTTGGCGACGCCGTCTTGGCAGAGGTGTTGGTGCAGGACATGTTCCCGATGTGGAGCAGCAGATTGCAAGAATGGCTTGCGCTTGACGAGGCGGACCTTGCGGAGGTGGCAGACTGGTACAGCTGGTGGCGAGGCGTGCTGCTCAAGGACATGGCAGAGATTAAGGCTGTCCGGGCGGAACTCGACAGAGGGCTGCAACTTGTGAATATGGTATAAAGGAATAGCATAGCGTGTGAGATTTAAGATTTATGTTTGATTCACTTCTTTTTCTTGTTTCCAGTCTCTTCATTATCTCTGGCCGGCTATTGTTGTCCCTGGGTAAGGTGGCCATTGGGACTATCTAGACTAAGAACCGGCTTCGATGCGGGGGATAGACAGTCAGATAGGGGGAGGGGAGAGAGATGAACGCGTTGGTGTATGTCGAGAATACAGAAGAATCTTGCTGCTTGACACAAACACCTAACCCCGGAATCTGGCGTGATGACCATCCGAGTGCCACGAGCTTCGAACAAGGAATGATACTTGGGGCACGTGGCCACTGAAGCTTGGTACAGACTATTCCCCGAGGCAGACTCATGATTGAGATTGCCTCCATAGCAAAACGAAGGGCTCCTTGTGAAATTTGACCGCTTTTCATGGTTTCCGTTAATACAGAGTGTTACCTGGGTAGATGAAGACACACCCCGATGGCATCGGGATGCTGTGGAACGTGGAACGGCTCGAGGCATGTGGCTACCCTGCACCGGGGAATGACCCAATTTGGCAGAGCAAGGTACCACAGAGAAGGATTTCGAGGTGAATGCCTTGCCAAGTCCATGAGGCTGCCAAGGGAGGGGTGATGATTTGGTGCTCCTGGCTACTTGGGTAGTTGCTCTAGATGATGTGCTGGCTAACTTCTGATGTGATGTTACCTGTGCTGTACAGACGACGACATGGCTTCTTTTGGTACCCTAGTAACAACAGCATGAACTCACGGATGTGCAGCAGATCTAGCTATAGTACTGACTGCCAACAGCCGAGACATTGCTAAGGCATGGCCGAAGCATCTCGCAAGCATTCCGGAGTCGTTCGCACTCAGTTCCTGTGATGCTGCAAGTGTCCGGCCTCGGTTCGCCTGTACATGTACCTACTGTACGAGAGTACCTACCTACTGTATGTGTGTAAGGTCGTGCTTGCATGCAGCGTCACAGATGGATCACTGGCGACAGGGGGCCCCTGATCGGATTTTGGCCACCTTCTCAGGCCTCTGCTCCCTGTACATACATACGGTGGGTGACCTGCGTGGCCGAAGGTTGTCATACATGCACATGAGCACCAGGGCGTACGAGCACCCGATATTGATCACTGTTTTTTTTTTACTTGGGTATCTACCTAGGTAGGGAGCATTGAGCGCTGTAGGGATTGTAGAATACCTCTAGCACGTCCCAGCTGAGGCATTGCTTGGCGCCATCATTTCCAGGTAAGCTCGTCCAGTGCTCTCATCGGTTGCCCTGCTGGCTGGTGTTTCTGTTATTCCGCGTGCCTGTCGATGCAGTGGATGTTGAAAGGTACAACTGTTGGGGCTCAACGCAGGTACTTTATCGGTAACTCTAACCTGCAGTCTCCACCTGCATTCGCGCCGCTGCTCTGACGGGCAGCACCCGGCAGCGACTTGGGCGCCAAGTACTCCGTACCTGGATGCGATAAGACAATTGCGCGAGTCTCAACCCTCTTTTATCGCTCCCCACAGCGACTGACGGAACCCAACCAGAGCCAGAGCCAGGCCAAACCCCCTCCACCGCCCTCCCACCTGCAACCCGCACCCGCACAGCGTTTTGCCCTTCTCGCGGCCAGACGAGCCACACGAGGCCTTTGCCAGAGTCCGACGAGCGACGACCGCCTGCGAGCACCTGCGAGGGCCCCGAAGAAGGCGACGACCAGCAGCAGCAGCAGCAGCAGCAGCAGCAGCAGCAGCAGCAGCGGCAATTTCCCGGCTCGGCTGCCTGGCGTCTGATTCACTCGCCCGCGGGTTCCTGTGACTGCCTCTGACGAGACGCTGTTTCTGACCACTGCATCTGCATCTGCCATCCCGCATCTTATCTAATCGGCTGGTCTCCCTGGTCTTTTCTCTCACTCTCTCTTTCTCTCTCTTCCATCTCTATTACGTCTTCCCCTTTTCATAGGTATTACTTTTTCGTTTCTCTTCCAGTCGCCGGATAGACAGGCTCTTTTCTGGCGGCGCTCATACCTAGCCGCTGAACCCCCCAGTTGACGTGGCCACAGTTCTGACTGCCGTCTCCAATCGACCACCACTGAGCCTGGCGCTGGAATTTGGAGCTCAACCACTCTGTTCTGCCGGCCCCAAGCCCTCCCTTCTCCATCCGTCTCTCCTACGCCTCCATCTGCCTCACCGCCGGCGATCGTTCTTCGCCCGGCGCGGTAGCATCGACCCGCCACCATGTTCTGGAGGTTTGGCGGCTACGCCAACATCTCGACCATCGATACCATCCTCGACAAGCCCGACTTCACCCTCGAAGAGCTTCTCGAAGAGGCCGACCTGATACAGGAGCTCAAGCAACACAACTCCAAGCTCATTGAGTTCCTGCGCGAGGACAAGGTGCTCGAGAAGCTGCTTGAGTATACCATTGCTCCCAAGCTCGAGGCTGTTGAGGGCGCTGAGGAACCTGCCGACGATGACATCAAGACCAAGGGCCGCCTGCTGCCCTTCTCGCGCCCTCGCGCTTCTTCGCAAGCCACCGACTCCGGCGAAAACGACGATGAGCTGGACAAGAAGCGCAATCGCTATGCTCACGTAGCCTGCGAGGTCCTGAGCTCCGACACATGGTCCATATACGAGGCCCTCGTCGAGAACCGGCAGCTGATCCGCGAGTTCTGGAACTTCCTCTCCCGGCCTGCGCCGCTCGACCCTCTGCAGGCGAGCTACTTTACAAAGGTCAACGAGTCGCTCTTCGAGAAGAAGACGGATGAGATGATGGAACTGCTCTTCAGCTTGCCCAATGTTATCCCTGACATGCTGAGGCACGTTGAATGTCCTATGATTATGGATCTGCTGCTCAAGATCATCGCCCTTGATCGCACGGAAGGCGGACAAGGCGTAGTCGAGGTTTGTCACGTTCATCCTAGGACATCGCATCTCTCTGCTTGAAAGACCTCGTTCATTCTAACCTCTCACAGTGGCTGTATTCCAAGGATATCATCCCGACTCTCCTCTCCTTCCTCGGCCCTGAGCACAGCTGGGTTGTGCAGACGGCCGCGAGCGACTTCATCAAGGCCATTATAACCATCTCCGCCAACGCCTCGCAGAATGAGCAGCAGTGCATCGGCCCCAACGAGCTCACTCGTCAGCTCGTTTCGAAACCCTGTGTCGAGCAGCTCATTGGCTATATGCTTGGTGGCGGCAATCCCTTGACTGTTGGCGTCGGCATCGTCATCGAGGTGATTCGAAAGAATAATTCCGACTACGATCCGGACGTTGGAACAGAAGCCAACACCTTGCCCTCTAGTCGGGACCCCATCTACCTTGGTACTTTGCTGCGCCTATTTGCCCAAAATGTGCCCAACTTCATGAACCTCATTATGAACGAGCCATCCAAGAAGCAGAGTGTTGCCTCAACGTTCAATGAGAAACTCGAGCCTCTCGGATTCGACCGATTCAAGACGTGCGAGCTCATGGCGGAGCTGCTTCACTGCAGTAACATGGGATTGCTCAATGAACCGGGCTCAGAGCAGCTGATTGCGCACCGTGACTATGAGCGCCAGCGCCTCCGAGCCGAGGGCAAGCTCTCGCCCCGGGACGAGGACGGATCCGCCGATGACTTGACGATGCGCATTCCCCATCCCGCCCACCAGGAAGAGGTTCGCCGCCTGGAAGTCACGAATGCCGATGACGATGGCTTCGAGGAGGTCGAGCCGACCAGCGAGATGAATGAAGACACCTCTCACGAGTTTGTCAAGGCCGAGGATGACATTGCCGCGCACTCGTCTTCATCTTCTTTCCTCGAAAAGGACGAGGAAGAATTCGTCGACGAGCCGCTGAGCTCTCCTCGGCTCGCAGTGGCCACGGCCAGTATCAACGAGCAGCGCTTTGAAGAACCCGATCTCGTTGTTGCGCCTCTTTCACCTACCAAGGCAAAGGCTGCCGACCTGGCACAAGCCCAAATAGAGAACCCTACTACTGGTGAGGAGGCGGCCAACACTGCTGCAAAGGAGCACGAGTCCGATTCGGCTTCGACTGTTCTATCAGGGCCCATCGTAATAGCGCCGCCTGAACCTACTGAGACAGCCGACTCGGAACCATCTGGGACTGATTCTTCATCATCTCATCCCGAGGCTCAAAAGCCTGGCCTGCAGCCGTCAGCGCTGCCCAGGGACGAAGACACGAAAAAGAGCGCACCTGCGCCCAGCGCTCCGCAAGAGGTCGTCTCTGCCGCTGGCAACTTGGCTCCTGAGGAAACTGACAAGTCTCGTGGCCTATCCCCCCATCCTGAAGATACCCCGGCCCCCCTCTTTTCAGCTCCTCTCGCCCCTGACTCTGGTGTTCAAGAGCCGCCTCGCGATGGCTCATTCACGCCACCCCAGGGCCCCGAACCCGCCCTTGCCGCGTCTGGAGAGAACCCTGGAGAAGCAGTCAGCGATGTGGGAGAAACGGTTGTGGGTGACTACCTCAAAATGCAGTTTGTCGAGTATCGCGTGGTTCCAGCGATATTGGTAAGTGTGACCTCGCATAACCCATGTCTTCCCGGCCCTCCCCCTTCTAACGTCATGGCAGTCCTTCTTTTTCGCATACCCGTGGAACAACTTCCTCCACAACGTCGTATACGATATCGTTCAGCAAGTGTTCAATGGCCCGATGGATCGGGGCTACAACCCGACATTGGCTGTATCACTCTTCGAGGCTGCCGACATCACCACCGCCATCATCAAGGGCCAGCAGGCTAGTGACGAATCTCAGGCCAAGACGAAGACGCGCATGGGATACATGGGGCACCTCACGCTCATTGCCGAGGAAGTTGTCAAGTTCACCGAGCGCCACCCCCCGGAGCTCCTGTCAGAGACGGTCCTAGACAAGGTTATGAGCCAAGACTGGATCAATTATGTGGAGGGCGCTCTTGCGGAAACGAGAGAGCGAGATAACGCAATTCTCGGCGGCGTCCGACCTGAGGTGGCTATGGGACACCGAGTCAGCCTAGGTGGCAGTGGGTTGGGCGGCATCGGATTGTCAGGGCTCGGAAACTCGGCCAGCGCATCCAACGCCCTGGCAGAAGCTGGCCTCAATGGCGGCATGGAGATGAATGAAGGAGACGGAAACGGAGGCGGTCCCTTTGCCATCAGCGCGGGCACTCTAATGTCTGGATTCGGGAGTAGCAGCGACGAAGACGACGATGAGGGCGATGGTGACGAAGAGGATGTGAATTCTGAGGTGAGTTTTGATTCTTCCGATGAGCATGGCAACGAGTCTCCTGAGGCGACAATGGGCATGGCACACGCACCCGAGGATGTCATCATGATGTCTCCTGAACCGATCAGAGCGGGCTCTTCAGACGCAATGGCCGGTTTGGAAGCAGATGCTGATCTGGATGCGCCGGGTCAGGACATCATGGTGATTGAGGAAGGGGGGTGGATCCAGAGGCGAGACCCAAGCCAGGGCCCGAATAGAAGGCTGGATTACTCCTAGGCGGAGGGGCAGACTTCAGCTACAACCGGCGCCACGTCGGGCTCTCATGATGATGACGACAATGATACAACCGAGGCCTCTGGAGCCTCTGCTGCGCCTGGGTCCTCTGGCCCGAACAATGGAGCTCCCAGGGGGTACATTTTTGAGCTGGAATATCTCTCGAGACTGCTTGCGAGCGCGGAGGGAACGTGAGGGATGCATTATACATGAATGGGCGTTGAGGCTTTTTGTTTTTCGCTCTTTCTTCTTCTTCTTTTCTATTCATTGTACCATGTGGTTAGGATGCGGCGACGTCAGATGATAGCCCGATTTTTTTGTGTTGTGGATAGCGCATTGAAAGAAGAACAAGAAAGCCAGGGGACGCGAATTTCGGAAGATTTCATTTTTTTTGCAGCTTTGTTCGAGGAGAATAGCGCATCCGAAACGAAAGGGGGTGGGAGAGGAGATGTCATCATGCATCAATTGTCAGCCTTAGGGACTTTGATCAACAGCCAACGCTCATTCGCATTTCCCTTGTTTGCCCTCTCTTCCTCTGCCTCTTCCCTTCTCCCTCCCCTATTCCCTTGCATTCCTGGCTTCGTTTCGGGAAGCCCTCTGTGCTGATCACGAGGGCTTAGTTCCGATCTTTAACTGACGTGCAGTAACAGGGATCAATGGCTCCGCCGTCCATCCCACCTCCTCCACCGCCGCCGCCGCCGCTGAACATTCCGCCTTCTAGAGCCCGGCTGCAGCTCGCGGCACGGCTGGCGATGCATCAGAAGAACAATCAAGCTGCTGCACAGGCCTCGTCGGCCACAGCTAATGACAATCACGATGATGATGATGACGACGACAACCTCGAAGACCCCTTTGGCGACGGCGAGGGCGATCTGGACGATGACTTGGACGATGACTTGTCCAACAACCTAGGCCGTGGAGCATGGTGGAGAGGCGTGGTTGGCAAGAGAAGCGGCATAGAGGATGATGACTCTGACGACGATGAAGAATTTGGAGACTTTGCCATGGCAGAGGAGGAAAAGGGCGGAGAGGGACAGGATGAGGGCGACGTGGTGCTGAAACCTCTTGCCGTTCACCCACCAAGGGAAAGTAGCCGGGGTCTGAGCGGCCTGTGGCCTTTTGGCTCAAGGGCGGACAAGGACAAGAGCGGAGAAGGCAAGGAGGAGCAGAAGGGCGAAGGCGAAGGCTCCACGGCGGAAGAGAGGGATGACGAGCCCGAGCGGGCGATAGAAGTCCGGGAGGCGCAGCGGAGGACAAGCATTGAGGATGATGACGATGATGACGAGGCTACTGTGGGGACGGAATACGGTGTTGGTTTCAAGGGCTAGATTATATACCTTAGACTGGAGTGCTTGAATGACTTTTGCTTCTTTCTGTTGTTGTCTGAGAAGGGATTGGGAAATTGACACGATGGTATGGCATGAGACTATGCATGTATGAATAGGATGAGCACGATGAATGGGTTTAGGAATGGGCGGGGGGAAAGAATGGGATCGATGGAGAACGTGCATGGTGGAGGGCTTATATACGGTAGCTCCGAGGATTGTACAAGTATCATTACTATGCTGGTGAAGTCTTGTACTCTGCTCCTGAGTCTATGGGCTGAAGTGAGGCTTGGGGCCGGGCTAGAGCTTTGTGGCATGTCAACCTTGGTCTTTGTTGTTGATGCATCTTTGGACAAGACATCAGACGGGACGATGCAGGCACAAGGTACATGTAAACACATGTAAGCAGTCCGAACAACGGCACGCAATGTCAGACAAGCCCATGCTTGATGTTTGGCTGGTCGAATAAGCAGCCCAGGCACACTGCCACTGCCACGACCTGCATGATCGGTGCCTTGCTCGCCCACAGCCGCGAAGCATTCACGTTAATAACGACGGCTCACATGCGCCCACTTCTCTAACCTAACCCTAAACATGTATAGAAGCAATATCGGACGGAACGGCTGTGTCAAGCAACGATAGAGAAGTCCAAGTGGATTCTCGCTATATGATCAACTGGCTATCTAAAGCTATTCAAACGGGTTCCCCCCAGAAGAAACAGTGATATGTCCAGTCGAAGACGTGTCCTGGTCAAGTGAAGTCGATATTGCCTTGAATTGACTGGTGTGATCTGATATCCCCTTTGCAAGACAGGTAAAAGCTGACATTTGCGCCCCCTGCTTCAACCATATCCCGTGCTCAGTTACCCGCCTAGTCCCGGCTTCCCCCTTGACCATATGTCCATGGCTACTCTTAAGTGTAGTAGCAAGCAAAGGACTGAGCATTCTGCACGTAAACGCAGTTACCCGAGCCGGTGGCCTGGCCGACGCTGCTGCCCGCGCAGTTTTGCCCACTGTAAAAGTCGCAGAGGCAGCTGTCCTCGTAGCAGTTGGCAATGTTTGCGTAGTTGCTGAAGTGGTAATTGTAGCAGTTGTTGCCGCCGCCGTAGAGCTCGGTGGCCCAGGTCACGTCCACTTGGCCAGTGTAGGCGCTGCAGGCGTTGTTGCTGTAGTAGTTGATCTTCATTTGCTCTGCAGCGGTGAAGGAGGCGGCGGTGAGGACCGCAAGGAGGGAGGTGGTTGAGAATTGCATGGTGATTGTCTTGTGAAACTGGCTGATGAGTGTTTTTGAGAAGTGGTTGGAGTGGTTGTGGTGATTGTGATGAATGAGTACCAGAGGCCGGGTGATGCAGGGCTTTTATATATTCGAGCAAGGCATAGGGAGCCTCTGGACTATACGCGTCTATTGGGTCATTAACTACAACAATACTCTTGAGCTTCGCTTTCCGCGTGAGGTGATTGAAGGAAAGTAATTCCACCTTGGGTTCTTGAAGCCGGTCTTTCGTAGGATTTGAATCATGCGTATCACCGTCGTAAATTACAACTTCAATACGCCCCATCTGGACGTAAGTTTCTGCGTCTGTACATGACTTTCGGCGGCGCTATCACGAGCATACAAGGGGTAATACGTCTGAGGAGGTGCCTTCATCTCGAGATACTATCCTTGGCCTTCGCGGTAAGCGAAGGACTGTATGCACCTGCGCTATAGGGAATAGCACCCACGATTCTTGTCAGCAATTGAAGTCATCTCCATAAGTGAAGACAAAGAGAGAGAGAGAGAGAGAGAGAGAGAGAGAGAATCGAGAACCATCGACTGCATGTGACGCCCCTCTCCGCCCCATGCATGCCTCTTGTTTTCGGCTCCATAAGACAGAACCAGAGGATGAAAGAGATGGGACAGAAGCGAGATCGAAAGAACGTGAAACTTTTACTTTACGCTCAACACGGTCTCGACACAGAATCATGATGACAATTGCCTTGCCATATCTGCCCTACTCAACCCCATGCGGAGATATCGACGGCTACTAGCCAGCCAGCTCCAGAGTTGACGCCGCGCGAACCCCCCTGCTCGTCCTTGGAGAACAAGCAACGTAAGGTATCTAGGCGACGGTCCGTATAAGGGTAGGCAGAGCATCTGCCCTACAAACGGGGCGTCGGGTGTCCGGAGCGTCAGGCCCTCTCCCCTCCCCCCAACCCCAACCCCCCATGAAGATCTGCCGCCAATGCCAAAAAGGGAGGGAATTCAAGGAAGAACAGAGGGCTGACGGCAAAGTAGATGGTCACCACTGAAAGCAACAGTATGTTGTTCGAATTCGGACAATTACAAGTATAGTAGTATTGGAATCCTACGGAGTAATCAGCCCTCAATGGCGAGTGCCGGCAAAATTTCCTTGGCGCGGAGGCGATGGTCCGTTTACCGATCTCCGGATCTTCGTTGCCGCTTACTAGTGCTCCCTATTGCCAGCGTTACTGCAACAAGAATAAGAGGGGGGACTGACTGGAAAAGCTGAGGGGGGGCCCAATCGCGATATGCCGTGTCGCATGTTATAGGAGCTAATAGGGGCATATCACAACTATCTAGGCTTGCTAGGCTTGAGTGCTAAGTTGTCAGGTTTTTGGAAAATGTTATCACAGAGGCATTGGCAAACTCCAGGATTTCGTCAAGCCCCTAACCCAGTTTGATCCTCTGCTGCTTTGCGCATCATTTGGCGGCATATTCGAGGTCGCTTTGGTTCAAAGGACATATCTCAAGTAAGGTAGTATATGCCTATCAAGAGCTTATGCCGCCTCCTGTTATATATCATAGCAATGTTGACGAACTAGACTTTTGAACTTGACTTGAAGCCCTTGACCAGTTTCATTTGAGTTTATGGGTTTGAAGTAGTCGTCCGGACTGCAATAGGGTTGAGCATCTCGGACATACCTTATAGAACAATAAGTAAAGGGAAATTCGGGATGTTATTGTCCGATCCTGTATCGTGGTTCAGATCTGTTCTGGCAGTCTTGGTGTTTAAAGGGAGTTACATGATACCCTCATCTAAATAGCACTAGGTCGGGGTTCAAGATAATGGTATCTACTTACATTCTACATTCTTGACTGGAACAAAAGGAAAGGCAGCTACTGAGTACAGCCCTTCTGCTCACTCTGAAGCGGCTCTTTGAGTTGTAAGTGACCTGAGCGTGGCATACTTGCAGATTTGCCTTACTTTCTCGAGTGGGCTCAGGTTCACTACCATGTCACCAAGAACTCTGTCTTTCACCAAGTCGCATACGCTTTCCTGACAGCTACAGTCGTTTTTCGGAGCATGTGGGTGATGGAGTCGCAGTTACGGCCTGTGTTGAGTGCTCGCGATCTAGAGGGGGTGGCCAGTGTGACGAAGGACTACCAATTACCACACTACCCAGGTACCGTGAATCAGTCATTGATGCATAGCGACTGGGAGCAACTACCTCCTAATAGTCAGCATTGCCTTTGCGTCTGTTGTTACAGATTCAATGTAAATTGCAATGTTCCTCTCGATACCTCGACTGGATACTTCCTGCGCTCATCAGGTATCACCGACACTCGACATTCCAAGCTCCAGTCTCTGGTCCTGCAGCAGTGTGATCATCACTACTCCCCATAGAGCGAAGATTGAGTCCATCCTCTACCTAGAAGGATCTATACGTCACCGAACCACCTGCCCGCTGATTCAAAGATAAGGGGGAGGCAGGAAAGTGCGTCGCTGGTGCTCATTCCTCTTTACAAAAACCAATCTCAACCAAGCATTAGGTCTGGACGAAGCGACCACTCTCGAAATGACACGCATCCTTGAGCCTACCTATAAACGTCGGTAGTGCGCAGAAGGAATCATTGTGCAGATGGCTCTGCTGTTGTGATTGGCCTGCCTGACGACAACCCAGCCACCACCAGCTGGGCAGAACAGCCCTCCCGCACCGCAATATAACAAGTCTGCCTTGTGCCACCAATAACATTTGGTTGCGTTGGGCAGACTTCTGCTGGCAGGTACGGGTTCAAACAACGGTCTTTGCCGCAATCTTCACAAGGCAGAATGCAGAGTATCACTCGCTGCTCCCACAACCCCGAGTATCTCTGTACAAACGGCCAGCTTGTCTTCGCCTCAGCTTCCTCTCAGTGAGATCTCTCCAAGCAATTCATTCTTCACTTGTTCACACAGCATAGGCACTTTTGCTACACTGACACCCTTGGAAGCTGGGCAATGACTGACTTTGCCGGCATCGCCTCGTCAGGTGTCCAGGCCTGTTCCGCCATCGCGACCTACATCAACGCTCTCAAGCATCGAGATGAAGATCTCGCTTCAATTGGCCGTCAGGCCCAGGCCCTGGAGTCCGTCTTTCAGGCTCTCAGTCAGTCTCTAACGGAGGACTCTTCGGATCCTTCGACATCTTCGGCCGCTGCTCAAGTGTCAAGCTCTATGCAAACGTGCGAGGCTGAATTGAACAGTTTGAAGCAGCTCATAGCACGCTTCTCGGATAGCCTCCAGCCTAATGCGCGTCCGCAAGACAAAATCCTTCAACAAGCTACGAAGTTGAAGTACCCAATGCGGAAGCCAGATATTTCTCGAATTCAAACATCACTCGGGGTGATCACAGAAAACCTGAATCTAGCTCTCCAAAACCTCGGGCTGTAAGGCCTCAACCCATTCGTTGTATTGATCGGTCAGGCACTGATTTTGTGAATTCTGCATAGACGTTACAGCCAGCTGGCAATAAGCAAGTTAAGAGGCCTCGAAGAAGCAGCCGCGCAGGCGTCAACCAGCCTTGATGCGATTGGCTCTAGTGTCTCTGCATTGGAAGGTCTTGTGTCTCCTCTCAAAGAGCAGATACCCGCTCTCCAGAGCGCTGTTGCTACGATATCGCCTCTCGTCAACAGGCAATCAGATCTGCAGCTCGCTAAGATCCAGGAGCTTCATTCGCAGAGCGCACAGTCAAACGACGCCCTCAGCGAGTGTATGATTGGCGTCCATGTAAAACTGGACGGCTTGCTGGACCGATTTCAACAGCACTTCACCACTGCGTCGGCAGCAGTTGACGGGCCTGACACGAGGATGTCGGTTTACAAGCTTGTCTCCAGACCTGCCAGCCTGGCATCGCTGTGTGGCAGCCTCGATGATATTTCCCAAAAGGCAACATCCACCATCAGCGCCCTTCAAGGGACTCCAACGGTCAATGCGAACTCATGTCCCTGCCGCCAGAGATTGGTTCGCAGAAGTAAACGAGTCTCTTTGTGGTCATGGGGCCTTTGGGATGACGAAGTCATTACTTTCAAGCACCTCAAAGGCTGCCAATACTTCAATAGCAATGGCGATGAGCGGAGCCGGCTCCGAGGAATCAAGCTCGCAGGCTTTCTCAAGAATGCCATCATCATCACCTTCTACACGAGTACAGGTGCAGGTGGGCATAGCCTCGGCGCGAACATTGAATTCTATGCAACCGTTGATCGGGAGACATCTCCGGCCTTTCGTGTCATGTGCGTGCTGGAGGCATGTGCGCGTAAGTTGCCAGATCCGTCAGAAGGTCAATCACAGTGGGAACGCCTTGCTCTCGTAGCAACGCAGAAGCTTGAAAACCTCTTCAAAGAGGGCAAAGCAGGCGCCAAGGACGTCGACTCAAGCAATCAGTCGCTACTGCATGCAGCAGCCTGTGTGGTAAGTCAAAGATCTTCCACGAGGCTCAACAGAAACGGCAAAACGTAATCTTGAAATAGTCAGAGGCCATCTCCTCTTGGTCCAATATCAGAGGCAAAGCGTATTGCCCACCCATCGCACAGTTGGCTACATTTTTGATCAAGAGGCAGGTCCCGGCATCGCTGCGGGATCTTCGCGGGCGGTAAGAAAGATACATATCACTCACCCAGCGCAGCAAATGCCGACCCAACTGACCCGAAACTGTCCATATAGTGAGGCATTCAAGATTGCGGTGGGCAGCGGACACTCTTCAACTCCTCTCGCTGCAGCATTCTATCCAGAAGAGGCATCTATCGATGCTCAAGTCTATTGGTCTTGGGTTTGGTCTCCGCTAAAACCGCAATGGCTTGCCCGTTCTCTCGAGCTTTTTGCTTCGATCCCAAGAGTAGCTGAAGGTACGTGACCCGAGATTGCACGTTGTCATCACCCTCCTTTCAACGACTTAATGTTGTACAAGTATACCATGGTCCGCTATCATTGGCGATCTTGTTGAATGATCAAGGCCAAATCCACCGTCTCTTACGAAAGCATCCAGAATACCTTGAAGAAAGAGGGAATTTCATGGGCTGGACTCCCCTTCACTTGGCCGTGAGAAGTCCAACGTGCTTGCGAATCTTGGTTGAAAGATGCAGCCCGCGCCATCTAGTTCGAAAAGATGGAGCAGGCTACACAGTCCTTGCCTATACTATTCTCCTCAGTAGAACTCTTTGCAACCAAGATGAGGACGAGGATGAGTCTCCATGTCGGTGCACCCAGAGCCTGAGGATTCTGCTGGATGCCGGATGCCCAATTATACCTTATCGGGACTTTACAAATGCCAGTCTCGCAGGCTGCTCGCCGATGCCTCGGACCATTGCAGAGTCTATTTGGCCCATGCACTGTTGCAGCGTCGGCAAATGTTGAAGCATGTTGCGCAGCATTACCTTTCGCCTCTGGAAATCGACAGCTTCGATTTGCTCGGGCCAGCTGTACTGGACATATATGCTATGCAGGTTGATGAAATTCTTCGCCACAGAGGATTCATCGAGTTTGGCCCTTTGTCCACATATGTCGATGATGAGGGAGGCTGCCATCGTGATGGGGCTTCTTCTCCCATTCATGAGCTTAGGTCTATCTATCACGAACTGTCCACCGTCAAAGATGCGGAGATGTACTTTGACCTAGGATTCCACGATATTTCAGCTCGTCTAGACAAGCCTAGAAGGTGGATGCCACCTCATGGGTCATGGTCACCGTGTATAAGCTTACCCTTTGCGAATTGGTTGCTGGACCATGATGCTCCTCTATGGGAATGGGTAGCGCATTGTGAGATTCCATCGTCTGATGGCCTTGCAAACGGGTTCGTCCTTGCAATCTTGGGCGACTACGGCGAGCATCCTTCGGAGCAAGGCAATAGGGAAGTGGCACGAATACTAGAAGAGCGGATATTGTCGGACCGCTCCATCGATCGCTGCGACTGTCGATGCTCGCTCAGAGGTTGTACGCCTTTTGTGGAAAGGCTGAAGCGAATTCTGAATTGGTATCGCAAATCAGAAGTTGAGGTTGCCGCCAAATTTACGACCTACCTGAAGAAGTACGGCAACGCTCTTCAAAGGGAGCACTGGCACGCTGCGATACGGCTCACCACCTTTCAATCTCTAGGCATTAAGCACACGTGCTTAACAAGAAGGCCAAGAGAGCGGGAATTGGAGGCAGAAGAGATTGCAGAGATTCAAGATGAAGATGCTGAGCTGTTGGAGATTTTGGAATCCTTGGTAGAGGAGTTTGAGGAGCACGCCTTTGAGGCTATTGATGCGGCTACAGACAGAGTTGACAGGATGATTGCTTTTTGGAACGGCTACTGGGCCGACAGGATGCATCAGGTGCTGTCTGAGCTCTCTCGCGCTGATGATGAGAGTAAATTAGCCGCAGAACATCTGGGTGTTAGCTGGACGGCTGAGACTGACGAAGAAGCATCTGAGAGCTCTGAATTGGAAGAGTGGGATTATTACTTTCGGAAGATTGAGGAGATTGAATGAACTGGTTTGAGGTGCTTTGGTACCTTGAAAAGCTGTAGTCTCTTCACGAGATAACGACGTGGATCGTATTGTATTAGACAGATGAGTCACTCTCACTCAGTATTATGATTCTCTAATTGCAGCACCCATCAAAGACTGTCGAAACGTATTGATAGTTGCTGAGGTGCGAAGTAAGCTTTGTTGAACGACGGGGTGAACCTCAGTCCGGTCTGTCTCTGCGGAGCACAGTCATTGTATAAGGGCCCTGTCCCCGACGTTTGTATCTAGTTGAACTAAGTCTTTTACATATGTTGAATACATGTATAACATCACACTCTCCAATTTCAACAAGCTCGCCATATATGAAGGAATAACCCTGAAATATGACCACTATTGGAAAATGATGGAATAGAGCTTTGTGGCCTCTCATCCATCGCTTGGCGTGGAAGAGTCTCCATGATTGGCTGCCTTTATCTGTCGATTATAGACAACTGGGAATCGTAATTATTCGTACGTATAGCTAAAACCGTCTCCCGTAACAGGAAATGTGCCGTTGATACACTTGGGCACGGGAAATGGCTATCAGATGGGAATCAAGTCAAGATCTGCAGGAGGTAAACTTGGTCCCGTTGTGGCCATCACGCAAGGATAGAGAACTTTAAGTAGAATCGACACATTTGTTGTAAGAGAAGGAAGCTATACAACCATCCCAACTGACTGCCGAGAGGTAGCGGTTTCATATCTGGTGTCCCGGCCAACTGAAATTGGCCTCCTACCTATCAATGGGCTGATCGGTCCATATCTCTGCGTGTAACACCGGTCCTCTTCCCAGTCCAACCCAATTCGTACCCAACTACAGTCATTCATGATCCTGTGATCCGTTTCCCAAAGCCGCCTCAGCTGTAGTAGCACGCAAAGGACTGAGCGTTCTGCACCTGGACACAGTTGCCCCCGTTGTTGGCCTGACCAATGTTGTTGCCTCCGCAATTCTGTCCGCTGAAGAAGTTGCACAGGCAGCGGCCCTCGTAGCAGTTGGCAATGTTGGCAAACTGGCCAAAGTGGTAGTTGTAGCAGTTGTCGGGCCCGCCGTAGAGCTTGGTCGCCCAGGTGACGTCGACTTGGCCGGCGTAGGAGCTGCACGCGTCGTTGTAGTAGTTGATTTGCATTTGCTCTGCGGTGGCAAAGGAGGCGGTAAGCACCGCGAGGAAGGAGGCAGTTGAGAAGTGCATGATGATGTTTTGGACTGGTCGGTGACCGGTTGTGGATGGTTGAAGTGATGTGGTTGTTGGTGGTGTATCAAAGAGCTTGTGGTGCGAGCCGACTTATATATGGCAGAAGGCTTGTGGTCCTCATAACGATACTCATCCACGGAGTATCTGCTCGTTGATTCCAACGATACCCTTGTGCTTACGGTGTAAAATGATTGAAGGAAAGTAATTATGCCTTCTTTCTCAAAGCTCGGTTATCCGTGCCTACCTATGGGACCCGTATAATACGAAGATTGCAGTACATCACAACTCCTGTAGACGTGAGTTTCTGCGGCGCTAACACGAGCGTACAGGGGGTCCTACGGTTTGGGCCAGGCATTTCTCACGAAATGCTACCCTTGGCTATTCTGGTCAGCAAGATACTGTTTTGTACCTGCGCTATAGGGAATGGCAGCTATGATTATTGTCAGCATTTGAAGGCATCTCCACAGGTGGTCAATGAGGAGGATAATCCGTCAATTGCATACGCCTCGCGCATGCCACGATTCCGTTACCGCTTCGTAGCCATAGAAAAGGGAAGCGGGCAGGATATGGTAGGAACGAGCTTTGATTTGCTTAACGCTCAATATGGTCTCATTTGCAGAACACGAGAATTCTCACGCCAAGTTCGGTGTCCTCAGCAATCCACAAGCTCCGACACAGCACGTGCAATTGCAGAATCGACTGCTGAGTAGGTCGCTTCAAAGTTTGATCTCGCCGCCTCTCGTCCTTGGGGAGCGAGCATGATAGCCGTATAAGCGGAGCATCGGCCCTACAAGCGGAGCGTCGGGCGTCCTGATGAGCGCGAGCCGATGAGATTGCGGTTGCTGCCGAGAAGGGGAAAATAAGAGAAGCTGACAGCGAGCTACCTTACATGTACATAAGCTGCCGTTCAACGGTTCCTAGATCCGGGAATTCCCATGGGATCGTACGGCATAATACATCGGCCAAATGCAAGTGCCGGCGGAATTGCTTGGCGCTCATTAGGCGACAGTCGGTTATAGATGAGATCTCCTGATGTTCGCTTCCGCTTACTATTCAACTGCCCCATATCGCCAACGCTACTGCAACGAGAATAGGGGAAGCAGCATTGAAGTCAGGCAGACAGCAGCAATGATACAGTACTGCTATAATATACATAATTTATTATCTCTGGATACATATTGACTGACCTGATTAAATAGGCAGATCAGACTGACGCCGGAAGAATGCTAGAGAGACATGGCTATCTTGGGCCTTCTCAAGGAAGACACTGGGAGTACCACTGGTTCTGAACCTTGCAGGTCCCTGGGGCCTGGCACGTCGTAGGTCCCGTCCAGCCGGCACCTCCACACTGGCCATAGAGCGTCTGCTGGCCGCCGCCAGACGGCGGACTCGACGATGTCGCTGGCGGCGAGCTCCCGGGAGGAGTTGAGCCCGTGTCGTTGCCGAGGACGGGCGTGGGATCCGTCTCTTGCTGTCCCACGCAGAGGCACGTCCCCCAGTCAGAGGCAGCCTGCCCGGGGCAAGCAATGGGCTCAAAGTCGACGACGACATTGTCTCCAAAGATCTCGTTCTGCGCCATGATGTCGAAATGGTAGCTGTAGCCGTATTGGTTGGTGCCGCCGACCACCGGGCACCACTGCGCGTTCCCATTGTTCGGGCACAGGTTGGTCACCATGACGATGATGCTCTGGCCAGCAGCACCGCCCGTGCCGCAGCTGGAGCAGGGCGCCTGGCCCGTCGAGGTGAGCTGGTAGCATTTACCGCAGCCGGCGCCGCACCATGAAGCTCCGGCCGTGTCGAAGAGAGCCTGGGAGCCGGCAGCCGTGTAGACTCCGTTGCCGATGCCGAGCTGCAGAGAGAGAGAGGATGTAAGTGACGAGTCCCTTGCCCCAGACAAGGTCGAATGTTTACCTGCCACGGGAATGCGCCGGAGCTCGAGCCGCATCCGCAAGCACCCTCCTGCCCATCGTAGTAGCGCTGGCCTTTCGGTTAGAGGTTGTTGAGCAGACGTTGTGACCTGGAAGCATGTAGACTTGCCGTGGTGGTGGCCTTGTACGCGGAAACGGCGCCTACAATGAGGGAGCCGAGAACCAGAGTTGCCTTCATGGTCACGATGGTTACAAGCAAGACACGAGATGGAAGATCAAGTCAATTAGTTGCAGCGCCCTTGTGTAAGATACGAATAGATGCCCACGTGAAGAAGAATTGCAATAGTAGTTGGTTACTACAGGTCTTTTATACCTAGGTAAAAGGGCAGTTGTACGCGGCTTGCAACGCCAGGGGCAAATGAACAACAGGCTATTGCCAGGGTCAACGCCTCAGGTTTATAGCAACAGGCTATTGCCAGGGTCAACGCTTCAGGTTTACAGCAACAGGCTAATTACCTACCAGACAGGCTGATGTTTGCACCTGTAATTGCTAAAGCTCTTTCCGTGAACGTATACTACCTTGGAACAGGCTAATTGGTATATGATATCCCGATAGGATTCGAGAAGAGTGTTGCAGGGCGCTCGCCTCCAATCTCGCTATTACTCTTCTGACTTGTAGAGTGTCGTTGCACCCCCTATCCATAGGATTCAAGGCCATGTGTAGTCCGCAGAGGTGGGACCTATCAGCTTCTATACCTTACAGGTAATGACAAGGAGCAGAGGCCTGAGAACAGCATGCTCTAGCAACGCATGGCCGCCATCGGCCGAACACAAGCACTGATCAAGATATGCGTCCTGCCATCAATATGAAGCCATTCCACAGAGATCCAAGCACATACGACCATAGGTAGTGGAGAATTCGGGGTCCCGTCTGCTCCCCCATAGACAAGCCACTAACCGGCAGATTAGTAGTCAGGTGGGTGACCACTGGCGAACACCGGCTGTTGTATGTTTTTTTGCATTTTTTTTTGCTGTTTGAATCTCTTTGTCGAGAAGAGGGATGTTGGGGGTTTTTATGGTCAGTGAGACTTGAGTCGAATTTCGGCCGGCAATGCTCGGATTTGGTGGCTTGATGCGGTTGGTTGGTTGGGTGACATTCGCCCGCTTTACATGCATGGAGGCTGCACGTCTCTATTGGCTGCGGCAAAGAGGAGCGGGCTGATTCGACTTTCAATTTGGCTTGGGCTCTTCAAGTTCCGAGAAGCGTATCTACACATTACCTGCTGACCTCACTTTACCTGTGAAAATACTCTATTTTGCTTCATTAATTCGTTCAGACGTCGTGCAAGATGATTTGGAATATCTGAATTCATTAAGGCGCCGGATATCTTCGCTTTGTCTTCTCTGACGTGGGTCTTCTTGTGCGTGTTCTCGGGATCAGGGATGTTTTTCCTCAGGAGGATTGGGTATGCGGTACTTTTGGTGCTGTATGTGGGAGTCTATTTACGGGTGAGTATCATTCTGTTTCTTGATATGATGCGCCTGTTTCTTCTTTATTCTTCTTTGCTGATTGTTTCTTGATAGGTGTTGCATTGGAAGAGGCAGCCGGTGATTCGGGGCGTGAGAGAGTCTGTTGACGAAGACCGTGAGAGTGAACCTCGGTGAGGGACGACTCAGATATCACATGTCAAGCTCTTTCATTAGCTACCTACTTCAAAACTATGCACAAAATCGATACACGATGTGATAATTGAGTGTGAAGCCATCTTCGAATACGTTCTCACCACCCCGTCGATCCTCCGTCAATCCGCAGATCCGTCCCAGTGACATACGAACTCGCGTCCCCCAGAAGAAAAGCAATTGCCCCACGATACTCGTCGGGAGTAGAAATGCGCTTGAGCATGGCTTCTTCCTGCCACGTCGAGGTCCAGTCCTGGCGGCCGAGAAACTGCTGGGTCATTGGCGTGGCGATGACGCCTGGGCTGATGGAGTTGACGCGGATGACTGGACCTGCAGCTGCGGTAGCGGCTGCGGCTGCGGCTGCGTCTGCTGACGATGAGAATGCAGATAGAGGCGACGATGGAGAGCCCCATTCGGCGGCGAGGGAGCGGGTAAGCTGGTGGACGCCGGCTTTGGAGGCACAGTAGATTGCAGTTGGGGTAGCCTGGAACAAATCGAACACGACACGGGTCAGACTTCAAATGACGGATCTGTTGCGAACGACAACAAGACTCACCTTGTTGGCAATGTAGCCGCTCATGCTCGCCACAAACACAAAGCTCGCTCCGGGACTCTTTCCCTCCTGGTACTGCCTCCTCACGACCTTGGCCGCCGCCTGCGCCACGTACAAGCTGCCAGCGAGGTTCACATCGAGGGTTTGTCGGGTCTGTGACTCGGGATAGTTGATGGATTCGGCTGCGGTGCCGATGCCGGCGCAGTTGACCAAGCCGCGGAGGGGATGCTTGACTTGTGAAGCGGCGGATTCGAAGACGGTTTCGAGGAGAGACGGGGAAGTGATGTCGCAGGCGTGGTAGACGAGGGTGCGGGAGAGGGATTTTGCGAGAGCCTTGAGCGGTTCTGCAATTATCCATGTAAGTAAGACTGCTCTGTCTGTTTTTTCTTCTTCAGTGCTGTGAAAGAAGAGGACTGTTTACCCCATGTGGTTGCGAGAGGAATCTCGTGGGCATCAATGGCTATGACATCGCCGCCGCACTCGAGGATGGCTCTGGTGAGCTGGGAGCCGAGGCCGCCAGTTGCACCAGTCACTGTTTGATCCTGGTGTTATTGAGGAAACTTCCGAGAGAGAGTTCTGAGCAACTTGCCTATGATTGTTCGGTTGTCGAGGGAGAAGAGGCCCGGGGTGGTGGTGGTGAAGTGAGAGGCTTCTGTGTTTGATTCTGTGGAACCCATGATGGCTATTGTGCTCTTGTTGGTTGTTACTGGAGACTTCGCTGGTGAATTCGTGATTCCTTTGTGTGTCACTGCGAGACGTTATATACCTACTTTCAGAACAGAGGCCTTAAAACCAGTGTTGACTCGTACGAGTACACGATCATTCCCCTTGGCGGCCCCATTTGCCGCCAGCCGCCATGAGCTTCGCACTCCTTCTCAGCTCCAGGAGCTCTTACACTTCACCCATTGATTGGTAAGAAGAGCTGAAGATGAATTGTCTCCATCTTACTTTTCCATGAGACAATTGCTTCTCATGCGTGTTTCAATCATGCCAGAGTCTAGACTCGTCAGGAACCACGCAACGACAGCAAATCACCCTTATTTATAAGCTTCAATCCACAACACCAGGCTCATCTTTACTTAATCCCTCTGATCGACTATCTCCGTTACAAATCAAGGGTTTATGTAAAAGATTGACAACGGAGCCATCAGGTGGACAGTGGAACTCAGCAACTCAATATGATTACCTGCCAACATACGAGGCGGAACGGCGGCCCGCCAGCCCACTTCTCCAGGCAACAACAGCGGAGCGGCGGCCCGCCAGCGTCGTACTGTACAAGTACATTTGCTCCTTGTGGCTGAATTGCGTTTGCTGGACTAATGCAGCAAGCGAGCCGAAGCGGGGGAAAGAGGGCCGATGAAAGTTGGGGTAATCAAGGCGAGGTTGACGATGTCTTCAGTCATACGAGTTACAGGCTTAATAAAGCACATATTTTTCTCCTGAAAGACCTCTTCGGTTTCTACAGTTGGTATATATTTCTGCTTTTGTTCGCCCGTAGTCAGGGTCATTGATACGCCGCCGGCCAGTTACCATCATCGTCAACCGTATAAGACAAGTTGCTTGACCATGACTCGCTCAATGCTGCATCGTCTCGAAGACCTCTGCAACGTCGATGTCGACGACGCCGACACGGAGCTCATCAAGAGCATCCCCTTTACGCCGCACAACCGTACGTACAGCTCTGTTGCGCTTCATCTAGCTCTTCAATTCATGAGAGAATATTCTACTGACCGGCCCCTCGTCTTGCTACAGAAACGTCCAACCAGGCCATCATCACAAACGCTCTTCTAGCGGATGAACCTCTGCTCAAGGACCTGGTTCGGCAGTATGGCTCTCAGGGATGGGAAAGAGTCTACGACCAAGCTGTACGTTTCCTCTCTCTCTTTCGACAACTCTGCAGACACTTTTAGCTTTCAACTTTTCCGTCTTATGCCTTCCATCTCTCTCCTCTCCCTCTCTCAGACTCTCTCCTATCTCAACACCCACCCCCCTCTCTCATTACAAACTCCACATCACCATCATCATCACGGTCACTCACTCACTCACTCACTCACTCACTCACGAAAAACAACACACAGGCAGTCCATCTAACCGCCCGCAACATCCCCTACCTCTCCGGCCGCGTCCTCATCCAGACCTCCCTCCGGCACGTCTCCTCTTCCGCCGATACCCTCGCCCACGCCCGCCGCCTCGCAGCCCTCTACGAAGAAGCCGGCGTCCCCCGCGACCGCTTCGCCATCAAAATTCCCTTTTCCGGCCCCGCGGCCGCCGCGGCGGCGGTCCTCAACCAGGAGGGCATCCGGACGCTGGCCACGAGCGTGTTTTCCTTGGAGCAGGGCATTGCGGCGAGTCAGAGCGGCTGTCTCTTTATCAGTCCTTATTATAATGGTGCGTTTGATGAAGATGATGATGATGATGATGATGATGACCCCTGAGTACATTGTGAAACTGACGTGATGAAGAAATTGCTGCGCATTTGGATCCTTCTCTGCGACTCACGTTGGAGGATCCCGCTCTAGAGGTATGTTTGTCCTCCTCACACCAGGGGGGAAGAAGACAAAAAGGACAACAATGTGGCATCTTCTAACAGTACATGCAGCACCCCATGTCTCCCCGCGTAATCCACATCCTCGAGGCCTTTGCCAAAGCATACCGCGAAACCGGCAAGGAACAGCCGATCATGGTCATCGCAAGGTAATTCCCAACCCCCCCCCCCCCCTTTGACCCCCCCTTACCTGCCTGAAACCCACTTTGGACGAGACTGCACGAGATCCCAAACAGCAGGAGCAGGAAGAAAGCTAATATAGAAGCCTCCCCTTCAACAACAGCCACTTCACCCCCGCCGAAATCATGGCCATGGCCGAGCTCGGCTGCCCGCACGTCACCATCCCCCCGCACCTCATCCGCACCCTCCTCGACACGCCCGACACCCTCCCTCTGCCGACGACCAAGAAGCCCGCCAAGCTCAACTACGGCGAGTTCGCCACCGTGCAGCGCCTCACCAAGCTGTCCACCATTGATCCCTTTGCGCGTCCGGACTGGGACGGGAAGCTGGCCGATATGCAGACGGATTACATTGCGAATGACGGCGAGAAGTTGGATGAGGCGCTCAAGAACGATCCGATTGCGGGGAAGAGGCTGAAGGATGCCGAGGTCTTCTTCATCGAGATGGAGAACAAGGCCAAGGAGGCCATTGAGAAGGAGATTGCTGCTCAGGGCCTGTAGATAACGATGACCAGCATGTAGAAACCCTAACCTCAAAGTCGAATGCACGTCTGGCTCATTTTCGATGTTCACCTTTGCAGTCGTTAGTGTCGTCGTCACAGTCATGGATACTTTCGTCGATCGTTGCCCAGACGCAGCTTTCTCGCAACAGAATTGGCAATCTCCAGGGCATGTTCAATGCTTGATCCTGGCCGCGCCCAAGGCTCAAGCACCTTTACGACAGTCTGGTGGTTTGCATCGATATCCGCCGCAAGATGGCCGAGATGGGGAGAGTTTGCGGCCAGGGCGAGCACCAAGAAGCAGTTGAGAGAGCTGCATCCGACGAGGTCAGCTTCATCTCCAACAGCTCCAAGTCATCACTGGATTCCTCAATGTCAGGGCACTCACAACTGCAGCGAGCTATACGTGTACGGTGTCCTCTCCATGAGCAGATATCCTGCCCCGTGGAGGAAAGCTCGACACGCCGCCAAACAGACCTTGCACTGCGATATCACCGACGACGGCACCTCTGCCCCTCCGCTGTCAAACTGGGACGACGTGGCGTAAACCACAAACGGCCTGAAGATGCCCTGCTTCGCCGACCAGTAGCGCAATCGCAGTATGCATGCCTGCTTGTTTCCTGGCGTGCGATCGAACAGGTCGGGCTTGATGTCTACCGGAAGGGCCTCGTACCACCTTTCGAGCTGGAAGTTGAGTTCGCTGCACATACGCAGCAGGGACGCATCTGGATGAGGCGTATCCGACGCTGACTGAGACGAGGCGAGTGAGTCAAGAGCGCGACCGGCGTATATGGTGAGGCTGTCGGTAAAGTAGATGGCGTGATGCATCCGGTTGAGGAGAGACCGAGCTGATATCTCGGCAAGGACGCAAAGATGCTCCAGCTTGGGGTTTGTGCCGTAGTTGGGGAAGGGCATGCGATCAACGAGGACATCGATGCCGCTTCGTGGCTGATGGAACTCGGCTAGGATATCACTGATGTTGTTGTCAAAGATGGTCAGCGAATGCTCGGGTCCCTTCCTTGCAGTGTACTACTACCTTTCAATGATAAAGCAGACCCAGCTCAACCGCGTCAGTTCCTGAATCTCGACCTGGCTCGACAGGATATCCTTGCATCTGCTCTCGGTCAGACACATCCTCCGTCACCAAAAGGGACAGATGGAACTTGCCGGATCAAAAGCTGCTGTATGCTGGTCGACGCCATGTGAATCAGCCTCCACGCCGTCAACGGCTGCACCACGTACGTAAAGTACAGCGCGCATAAGATCAGACCCTGCGAGATACGAACATCGCCGCTGAAGGAGATCATCCACGCGGGCACCAGAATCCGAAGCGCCCTCTGCATGCAGGCATCGCCCGTGTTACCATGCTCGTGATCCCGGTCATCGTCGATGGGGTCGGATGCAGTGGCGCCCAGGGCCAAAACAGCCAGAAACACGCCCGACCTGACGTCCGAGCCTATACCGTCCCGCATGACGTCTTCGTAGCTAGCCAGGAGTTGGTCCCGGTCAAAGATGGGATGAAAGGCATGAACCAGGGCGAGAAAGCTACTGAGGTAATCATCCGCAACCGTTCTATCGACATGCTTCTCGTCTGCTTGAGCCCCAGAGACGGCCATGAAATCCAGCGCCAAAGACCTTGATCTCGTGTCCTCGACCCGAAAGATAAAGTCCTCGGGATAATCCCCCACCAAGGGACGCATCTGGGGCAGCGACAGCAGACTGCTCGTGCTCGTCTGGTGTCCCAAAGGAATGGTGATGGGGGGCACGTCATCATCTCCATTCATCCCGCGTCTCGACGAATTGCCCCCTTCGTGCGTGGCGAGAGCCCAAGTCGAGTGCGGCATCGAGGCTGCTTCGCGTGACGGCGAGTCCATGCTCTCGTCCCCTTCAGTACTGCCGCCACTCCGGCGGAAGAAGTCTGGCAGCTGTTGTGGCGTCATAGAAACCGGGGCATCTTTGCGTGGCTGCGGCTGCCTCTCCTGCTGCAGCTGTCTGAGCGCCTCTGCGTGCTCCCCGAGCAACGTCTCGATGCTCTCCAGCCGTCGAAGGACCGCATCCGAAGTCAACGAGTCTCCATTCTGCTGTCGTTGTGCGGCAATACTCCTGCATCCACGGACCCATCAGAACGAACAAGCCCCCATCAAACAACAGCCTCACGCATGCATTCACCCACACGCGCTCGCGTCTGGCACGTACCTAGGAGGAGCAGGTTCCGTGTAGACGCAGTCCAGTCCCTTTTCCAGACATCCCGTACATGTCGGGTTCAAGCCATCGCAGCGTCGCTTCCTATTGCTTCGTCAGTCACGCCTGAGCAAGCAAGCAGGGCTCTGCAGAGGAGGCTGGATGCTGGATGCTGGTTGCTCGATGCTCGATGCTCGATGCTCGATCAACTTACCGCTGGCGACAGTGCTTGCAGGCCACCATGGCCCTTGATTTACCAGTACTCATAGTAAAAGGTAAGCCTCCGGCCTGGGCTGAGCTGGCTTGTCACTCTTCTGTTTGACTAAACATGCCAAAAGAATAAAGTTGACAGAGTTGTGAATGTCTTCAGTTGATGCTCATTCTCGCCCAGGCCACGAGGCTGGGGGCCGTGGGTGAAGTGGAAAGGTATTTTACGGTGTAATCTGAGCACCAGAAACACTGTATGTACGATGTTTTGCAGCTCTCAACAGTATTAAGAGTACTGTCTACTTAATGGCTTCAATCAAGCGCTAGGACAAGCTGACTCAGCACACACCATATGTGCAATGCATCATCACGAGAATTCAAAAGTCGAATGTCCATCGACTCTTGTTGTTCATCTTCCCAGTCCCGTGATGAAGAGAGACAATCGATAATCCCATTTTGATGTTCGCTGGTCGCTGCTGCCAACAGTAGCTTTGAAACCCCTCTCTCTCCATACATACAGGCCCTCACTCTCCCATTCTGCATCCACAACTCTGGTAGAGATATGCTGCGATCCGTGTACGAAACCCCCTTTTAACCATCATGAATCCCTTTTCAACGCCCAGGTCATATTGAATGCGCACATAAAGCCACAGAAACGCACTAAAGGACAAGATGGAACAACACCTCTCTTCATTACACCACCTCGAATTTTTCTTCGTCGCCCTCGGCCATTTCCACGTCAGGGGCTGCTGGTCTGGAGGTGAAAGCCGCCCAGCCGCTCCTGACGGGCACGCTTGGTGTCTCCGTCTTGACCTCTTTCGTAGCCGGCTCTGCAGCGGGCTTCGCTGACCTCGGTGCCCTTGCGGCCCTGGCTGGCTTTGCTGGTGCAGCAACAGGCTTCGGTGGTTCTTCTTTCATCTTTGTCTCTTCCTCCTCCGGTTCGCCCTCGCCTTCTCCCTCGTCCCCATCATCTTCGTCATCATCCTCCTCGTCTTCGTCGTCATCGTCATCGTCATCATCACTAGAAGAGCCTGACCCTTCGCTATCGCCCTCGCTGCCAGGGTCATAGTCTTCTTCGTCTTCGTCTTCATCATCTTGCAGTTGCTGCTCGGCCTCAAGCTGTGCGCGCTCCAGCTCCGTCATGCCGTCTCCCTCTCCCTCACCGGCCCCAGCATCGCCATTCTCGGCTTCCCCGTCCTTCTTCTTGGGGCCCTTGTTCTCGGCCAGCTGCAGCTTCGCTTTCCTCTGCTCAGCCATGCTCCTGTCCTGAAGACCATTCATCTTGACGTAGTCGTCGATGCCGCCGTAATCTTGCTGGTCCAGCATGCCAAATTCCAGCTCCTCTGTGTTGCCGTCCTCGTCGATGAAGACCTCCACCACCATGTTGAACGTGATTTGGAGAATGTTCGTGTAACTGATTGCGGCAATGCGGTTGGTTGGGATGAAGATGATCGGCTTCTTGAATCCCCACAAGATGCCATTCTCGAGGAAGAAGAGGAAGCCGTCCTTTGAACCCCTAAAGCCGCTGACGTGGACTGCTATTTCATTGGGCCGGTGAGGTTGGCGCACCATGCTGCGGAACTTGTTTGAATCGGCAGAGACGATTTTCACGGCACTACCAGCAGCTTGCAATTGCCTGCTCAGCGCCCAGTGGAATAAAGACTTGTATGTGTCTGATACAGCGGCCGCAGCCCCTGACTCTGATCCTCCAATCGTTCCTTGCTTCGGGGCAGTGATGGGGACGGTGAAGACGAACGGCTCCGCGGACGGAGGGTTACCTGCCTTGGTGGGCAGACAAGTCCCTTTGGGGAATATCACGTAGTTGTGTTGAACCTGCGCCTTGTCAGGGACGGGGAGGAAGAAGGCATATTCTGCTCGATTGTCAGTCAGCCAGAAATTCTCAACGAACAAGGATAGGATTTGGATGAGGTAAACGAACCAATATCCCTCCACGCGTAGCTAATGCCCGGAAGAGGAGCTGTTGTGCCAGGGGCCCTAGCATATAAGTGGTTCGCTGTGAAGCAGATCTCGAGCTTCTTCCTCTGCGGAACAACAACAGAAATCTCTTTGACCTCTAAGAGGACATCCTCGTCTGCTGCATTCGACAGCACCGCTTGGCTGTTCGGACTGCCATTCGCTTGCTGTTCTGCGCCGAATTTCCTCTTCTTTTGCGCGGGCTCTCCGTTCTCCTGCAATCGCTCGTAGACGTGGTCGGCAATGTTGTTGAACAAGGCAATTCGGCTGGGAGAATCTGGGCCTCTGGTCAGCTGCTTGAAAAGGGTCAAGAAAGAGCTTCAGCCCAAATACCTGCAGCTTGCTTGATGCTGGCGATGATGTCTGGCCGAGCCTGGAAGACGGCGGATATCCGCTGCGTGTTAAGCGACTGGGCCATTGCGACGCAGCGAGCAAGAATCACGGCCAAAGAGGGAGACGCTGCGAGGGCCGCAATTTCGCTGATGGCAAAGGGACGAGTCGCGATTGATGCTTGAGATTCACGACTCAAGTTTGTCACCTGCAACTGACGCGACTTTGCAGCGACGTCAACTGCGCTGCTTAGTCATTCGGCGTGTCGACATCCCCGCCATCGCGATTGGAAGCGGCTTCAACTCAGTACTGATTCACCGACTCTCAGGCAGCAGGACAGCAAATTATTTTATCACCTCTATGTCTTTTTTGATCTCTAGGTAGCAGCCCTTTGAGGAGAACTTGTCTGCTGCGTGGAATCACGATACTCCAGGCAATCCAGGCGCAAACTGTCGGTAGCAAACGAACGGCCTTGGCTCAGCACAATGGCAGCGCCGTTCCCCAACCTGTACACCCTTCGAAAGGTTGCCGAATCGGCTGCCAAAGGATGCGATGTTTGTTACAAGCCCAGCTCGTCTGTGCTCATTACGCCGGACAAAAAGGTATATCCCGGTCATGCCCAGAGTCCCTTTCTCGCACAGGGCTGAATGTGGCTGCCGTAGGACTTCTTCTATATCTGCCCTGCCCACCTCAAGGACCGGTACTTTTGTACTCCTAAGATTGACGAGGATGCGGTCAAGGCCAAGCGGGAAAAGGAGCTGGCTGAAGAGAAGGAGAGGCTAGTCAAAGAGTATCAAGAGAAGCAGCGCAAGAAGAAGGAGAAGGAGAAGGAGAAAGACAAGGAGAAAGACAAGGAGAAAGACAAGGATAAGAACAAAGAGAAAGACAAGGACGAAGACAAGGACAAGAGCAAAGAAAAGGAGGAGAGTAAAACTGAAGGGGAATCCGGCGCTGTAAGTTGAGCCCGGGCACTGTTGCTGGATGGCTCTCTGAGCTGGAAGACCTAACGTACTGACGAGAGATCAGAAGAACAGTGGTGGTGAGACACCAAAGCAAGAGGATGAGCCTCGTGTCTTTGAACTCAAAATGTTCGTATGAGAACTTCTTCATTCCTTCACCCGTATCAGTACTCACCGTTTGCAGTGCCTTCTATCAACAGCGACTACAGCGCAAACGCCAAGCAGAAGCCGCCAAAAGGGACCGCGAGAGGGCTTCTCAACCAAATTACTTCCCGTCCGTACCAACAGAGCCGCCAAGAAAGTAGCCAAATTCTGGGTTCCAGTCTTTTCGACATCTCTTGCATCCCCTGGCCTCTTGACACAGCCTTTCACGCCGTATGAGGCACAAATCTCCGTCTCAGACACCGGCATCGTGTATATTTCGGCTGTCGTACTACCTCCTTCGCCCTCCAGAGTCCCAGAGTATAGAGTTGCAGATTCTCAACACAGTAAAAGCGAGTCGAGACATGACAAGAGCTCAAATCGTTGTGGGGAGCTCACTCGTTCGCCTCCGACTCCCAGTGCATCCTCTCACACAGGCTTCAAGACCCCGGATACCATTTTTCGTCTCTGTGTACTTAGATCACATCATATTGCCCTTTAGCTACGACATCCATACTCTTCGTCGTCCCACGATTGAACTGGCTAAAACATGGCTCCAGCTGTGCTCTAGTGGGACTCTCTAGAGCCAAAAGAACTGCGACAAGCAGTCCAAGGCAAGCAAAATCTCGTCAGCATCTCACCTCTTCCAATCTCAACAAGCCAACAAGACAAATTTGAGGCAAACCAATACGAGGTGGCCAATCACCAGGTCTGCTGAAGAAAAGTTTCTTCCCCAGCAGCAGTCGGAGAACTCGATCACGGGAGTTGGTTTCGGCCCCGAGACGGAGTTTACTCTGGCCTGGACGGCCGCGCTGACATCGACTTTCGATCGAATCGGGAGCGTTGCTATCCACGGAAACTGGTGATCGATCCGGCTGAAGCCCACTTGTATTACAGAGTAGCACTACTTTGTGCAAGACCATGTAATACAGCGCATAGCTGCAAGTTCGCGACATAAGGGCAGCCTACAAGGCGACATGATGGTGGCAGTCTGGCTAGTGCTTACACTTGCGGTGTCTGTACACCTCTCCAGCTGCATGCTCTGCCACTTGCTGTTTCCAGGGCTGAAATTACACGCCCTCCACAACTCGAGATTTCGCCAAAGAAGAAAAAATCACGAGGGCATGAGAAGGGGGGGGTGCTACCGTCTCTTGCACTGGTTTGCTGCGCTCTATTCTGCATCATATGATGATGGTGGATACAACCCGAACGGAAGCGGCCGGCGTTCTATGTCAACGTCTCGGAACGAGGCTGCGGGCGTCCATGAGTTTGTAGGTACTGAAACTCCGGCCATGACCATCTCTGGCCATCGGCGACCAGAGAGAAAACTCTGTGGCCTCCTGGTCCCCGGTTCTCAAACGAAGAGCACTGCAGCATGTCGAATCCAGCTGCTCATAGAGACCAACTCCAGCGTCGACAAAGCAAGGGCTTGACCAAGTAACCACAAGAGGACTTGCAGCTACGGAGTCTCAAAACTACGCGTACGGAGCTGGCCCATGCGCCTTGCCTTCTTCTCTCGCTTATTGTGCCGGCACTCGCACAGGTTACGACCGGCCGGCGGAGAAAGCATCGGAGGAGTGCTGCTATCCAGCCCTCTGATGCTGTTGTTCCACACATCCGTGCGAGCCTGGTCCCAGCTCCATACTCTTGCCGGGCTTCTTTATGGGCCAATCTCCAGAACTCTACCGACATCACAGCGTCTCGCATTCAGATTGATACACGCCCCCGCCAGCCTGCCAGAGGAAACCGAGATTGAAACCCCCATCACCGTGTACGGGTAGCAATGGTTGTTTGTGCAACCCTGCTTGGCATGCGGCATGCTGACATGGAGTCAAGGACGATGCCCTTTCCGGAAGACTCTGCATACACCAGTTACCCGCACGCCGTACCAGCTGCTTGTGTCAGTAACAGTACCTACCTGTACAGTACGATACCGCTCACACACCCGTACTCCTGACTCCTGGTTTGCTCTGCTCCCCAGTCTGGGGGAGCTCTTGACGATCTGCTATTCACGCCGTCAGCTGTCCCACACTTCGGCGGCTGTTTCAACTATTGTCGGTGGCCATTCTGAGGGCGGGACGTGGCGCATGCCGCCGCAAAATCTGGCCATTTTGCGTCTTGTTAAAGCCTTTGCAGATGCGTCTCGCCAGCCAATCAATATCAACAGTCACAGGCGGCTGCGAGCCCTGCCTTCTGAGTCGTCTTAAGTGCTGGTTTCGTGCCCCTGGAGACATCCTTCATCTTCTCGTCTACAGCTTCGATAAGGAACACTCGGGTACCCTTGAGAAGACTCAGCTTTCAGGCTTCTGACAAGGCTCCTGTCACCGCTTTCGGTGTGCTCATGTCAGTCACTTCACGGCAATGAGCGCGGAAACCTAAAACACAGGGCCATGTGCGTCCTGCTAATTTACCCACTTGATTGGTAAGGGATGAGTGAACGCATTAGCTGACCGCGGACTCTGAGCTCTGCGGTGTCTCTACATGGGACCAGCAGCAGAGGCGAGCCAAAGGAGGAAATGGTCTGCAGAGATTCACCCCCCTTCGGAGCCTGTCCTCGACTATGGCCCAACATGGTTTGCTGTGCCGGGGGAGGCGTCAACAACGTTCTGATGGACGGGCGTGGAAAGTGGCCTTGTGGAGGTGCAGCATGTCCCCATAGCGCGGTCCGAGCTGTCATCGATGCCACTTGCTTTGATGCTCTATCGGTGTCGGGATGATGGACCCTGAAAGGAGAAGAAGACTTGACAGCGCAGTTTTCGGCTGGGTATTTTTCCATCTGGGAGAAAGATACGAGATACACTTGAGGGTAGTAGACACGACAGAAACGGTCACTTTTTTAGTCGCTGGAGAAGATGGGAGCAAGACAAATCAAGATACGTTAAAGGGATGCTTCGCTCTTCTCGGGCTAGAGGTACTCATGGGTTGGCCGACATAACCCCCGGACTCAGTTGGATACGACTATCTACCTAAGCCTCCCTTCTTTCCCTCTCAAACTCGAGATTCAGGCTGCTTATGCCAGCGGGTCATGCGACGAGGCGCCTTGCGATCGATCAAAAAACAAAGCTGCTGAAACCACGGCCACTACCATTGCTCCTCCATCGCCTGGACACATTTCTCAGAGACCCCCATCGTTCAGAAATGCAGCTAGCTTCAGGTGATGACGGTTATTCGGGGAGGAAAGCGGCCTCGATTGTCCGCGTTGCCTGGCTGCTTAAAAACGCCATGCCTGTACACAAACACACACACACGCCCTTCAGCCACCGGGGGCACCGACGATCCCAGCTGCGTGCTTTCATCGGATCCCAGTCCTTGCTGTGCCTTGGCCCGAGTAAGACGCCTCCAGGACGAGAATGGTCTTTATTGGCAATCGGGTAATAAGCTGGCGCGAGAGGGGGCTTTCTGTTAGCCCAGTTCAAGCCAGGTTCACTACTCGTAAGCAACCTTGAACAGAAATAAGCGGGCAAAGGAGAAGCTTTCCAGAAGGGACAGGGATCAGGAACCAGCGAACAGGATCTCGAAAGGTCCAGCAGACCGGGGCGGTCTTTAACACCGTCATTGTTATTATCAATAACACCACCAATCAAAGGGGGGGGTGGGAGGGGGCGTATACATGGCTTCGAAGTTGGAAGAATGGAGAAACTTCTGACTCGGCAGGACGCAACGGCAGTTTTTGTCGGACGACGGTATCGGGCGTGTTGTTGATGAAAAGATGGAAAGGAGCCAGGCGAGGGCTAGGAAGCTGGGATGAGATTGTGACGGCTCCAGCAACCCTTCTCGCCCGGGACGTGGTGTAGTCGACGGGATTATCAAACACCATGGCCTGTCCTTGTTTGTTCGGATTCTTAGCTTCACGCCTCAGCCTAGGGACCGTGTTGGATCTTGTTTTGTTGCCTTGGTCACTGAGTCATTTCTAATTCTCGTTTTGGGACTACATGACAAGTTCTAGTTCTGGGCTGTCAAGGGACAAGCAACGACGCATACAGGTTACTGATATACAAAGGCCATCGAAGGGGAACAGGAAAAAGCCGACGGGCCAGATGGTTTGATAAGCGGAACAAGGTGAGTGCAGCAAGCAGGGGTGAGCAAAGTGAAAGATAACCAGTTTGTCACTACGCGGATATTGTGTGCAAGCCCTCACACAAGGGAAGCAGACCTGCTATTACAGTATATTGGAGTGGAAAGTGGAACTGGACTTTCAACATCCCCGAATACAACCATGACAAGAGACGGCTCAAGGTACCTATAGGTATCCAACCTGAAATGATGTTGCAAATGTCAAGTCTCGAGTTGCGATTCAGACAATGCTCTTGGCTTTCGGGTCCCTGTTTCTGCTCGCCTTTTGCAACCGGATTGAGTGGTGGAAGTGCAAAAAGTGCATCGCAAGAGTCCGATTGGTGGGATTTTGGACTATCGCGATCGAGGGGGCGACATCCGAGTAGAAAACCAGTAAGAGCCAATCCCTTGTCTGATTCTCTTGGTCTTCTGCACGGGCATTGGGTGGCTCTGGTCGAAAACAAGAAATGGATAGGCAATGGACCAGGCAATGCATGTTTGTTGCCGATCAGTTCGTTCAGCGTCAGCGCAACACATGACGATCCCTGGGCCTGGCTACCAAATATGGTATTTCCGCACTCGCTCTCTCTGTAGAAAGGGGGATACTATCATCACGCTGTTCCACCTTCTTTGAAGTAACAAGTGTCATACCCTAACATACTTATCAAAGGGTTCATCAGCAATCAAGAAACAAAAAGGCCGGATGTCGGACCCGATCGGACCACAGACGTGCCGGGATCAGAATCCTCCTCGATTTCAGTCAACCTCCCACCTCTCTCATAGGGCGAAATAGGCACTTGCCATGTTAATGATGGGGCGATGATGGAGTCTAGGGACTGACAAGGCGGTCCAGCGACCGCCGGGGATTGCCAACCCGTCTTGCTAAGCTCTCTTGGCATCTTTTACTAGTTGACGGGTTTATCTACCTTGGGCAGGTGGTATGTATGTACAGTCAATGGCCCCCCCTGTTCGTCCTCGTGGGGCATCCGCGAGCTTTGGCGAATTTCTGGTCATAGACGTGATACTACTCTACTCTTACTCCATCTGTAGGGCTTCCTGATGGACTTCTTCACCGAGTGCTAGCTGAGCGAAGATGAGAAGGAGAAGGATATACAAGTTCCTCGTAAGCTATGAGCCATCATGACATGCTTGTTGGTTTTACCCAACGGAAAGGTAGAAGGTGAGCGAGATCTTGGCATTGTAATGGGCTTACTGAAACAAGGATCGGAAGCACGACTATTCAGAGACTATAGTCTTCGTCTGACGTGCTATTACTACTATCTTTCGTTTGCCCAGAAACTCTCTCTTAACCCAAACGTAAGAGTGGGCTATTACTGCCCAGGAAAAGGCAAAGTGATAGGCGAAAGATGACGAGACTATCTGACGCGGGCGGCCATGTGCGCGTCAGCTTCTAATCTTGTTGTGTTATCACTTGCTAGCGCTGGGTCCTTTGTGCCGGAGAATTAGTGACTCAGAGCTGGTTCTATTTCTTGTCCTTCCTGATTCGTGTCCGTCTCTGTCCTTGTCAGATCCAAAACGTTAGAACTGGTATTATTGATAGCTATCAGCTGAGTCCGTTAGACCTAACCCAAATATAAGATACGGCTCAAGGACAAGTATCAATCCATACATCTTGGCCTTCGAGTATGTACAAGTGCTGCGTCGCTCCGGGTATTTCCCAGAAACCAGATGTAGGAGTCCTTGTATGGGTAGCCAAGAACAAAGAAGCCAAAGAGGAAGTATAGTGTACATATCAGGCGTCAAGGCAGCGCCATCGTCAGCTCCATGTATCGACAAATGATCCTATATACGGCAAAGACGTGATAATCTATTCTGGCACACGGTGATGTACTAGCAGTTGAGCTCACCGGTCACGTCAACCCACTTGACTGCCCGAGCATATAGTAATCAGCTCAGTAATTCCAACCACCCCCGCCCCTCTTGGCGATGATCGTTCTGCTTCACCCCGGTGATGGCCTGGCCCGCTGACTGATGTATCTTCACCTCAAGGTCATCACCATCACAGATTCCCCTTGCTGCCGCTGCCGCCTCGGCCAGGAGGCATCCGCAAGGGCGCCCTGGAAACCTCCTCCTCGACCCTGGCCTTCTGCAGCGAAAAAGCCGGGTCCTCGCGCGCGCCGCACGAGCACGGGAAGCCCTTCCAGTCGTACCGCCCCACGCCGGCGCCGCACTTGGGGTTGGGACACGCGAGCCGGCCGCTCAGCTCGCCCTTTTCCAGCTCCGCGCGCATCCAGCTGAGCGGCTCGACAAAGTAGTGCTGGCAGAGCGGGCTCGAGGACGGCGGAGGAGGGGGAGAAAGCGTGCTGTTGTCGCCATCGCTGCCGCTCTCGGACGCGCGCGGCTGGTGCGGGACGATAAAGGGCCCTGTGGCCAGGATGCGGCGGCATTTCTTGCAGCGGAGCCTCCGGTCCGCCGTGGGGGCCGGGGAAGGCGACGATGACGATGACAGGGACGAGGCTGCCGGATGTGACGGTGACTGAGCTGCAGCCTCGTCCTCGAACCACAGCTGTGACGGTGCCTGTCCCACAGCGAGGCTCTCCCTGGCGGCGCGTTGATACAGCCACCTCTGGTAAATGGGCTGGGCCTCCATATCGCCGTCGGCAGGGCAGCCCATCTGCCACCACAGATCGAGCTGGGCCATGAAGCCCGTGTTGGGGCCGGCAAGGGGCCGTGTCTGCTTGATGAGCGCCAGGGCCGCCCGGACGGGCTCGCTGAAGGACTTGTAGCTGTCTTCCGGATCCTGGGCCTCTGGTAGAGTCGCGGCCAGCTCTGCGCCTGCAGGGCCGGTGAAGCGGTCTGGGTAACGCCACAGGAGATAGGCGATGATGGCGGAGATGGAGCGAGACTTGCCGGCGGCGCAGTGGACAAAGACGGCCCCGCGTTTGGGGTGACTTCGTGGGGGATCCGAGGCTGAAGCTGAACTTGGCGCCGGTGCTGATGCTGAATCTGACGGTGGTGGACCTGATTCCTTGGGGGCATCCAGGCTGATGCTCTCAACCGCCTCCACTACACTAGCAACGGCATCGCTGTTGGAGCTCTGGTGCTGACTTCTCCCACCCCGGAGGCCCTCATCGATGAACTTGACAGCCCTCGGCAGCTCGATGAGGAGATCCGAGTCTTCGACGTCGTCAATATCGATGAGAAGATGCTTGAACGGCTTGCCGTACTCGGAAAAGGGCTCGTCCTTGAAATTTTTGAGACTGGATGGGTTGAAGGAGACGAGGGACAGGACGTGGGTGACTTTTCGGTCCAGGAGTGACTGTGAGCGGCGTAGAGCCCATAGACTGTAGGTTGATTCTTTAATTAGCTGCGGTGAGACTTTATGAAATAGTGTGATATATTTATATCGGAAGCATGGACGTGTAAGCACCGTCTACACGATGAGTTGTATCTCCAGCATCGACATCAGCATCAGAATCAGAATCAGAATCACGCACTCACCCCCCGACGTAGAGGTTGGGCACCCCCTCGATTGTGCTCAGCGCCATCTCGATAACGCTCTTCTCGAGGGCGTTGTGCTCCGCCACCTCGAGCCGATGGCCAAGCTGCTCCCTCTGCCCCTCGACAGGGGGGACGTCTGCCGGCAGCGAAGCCGGTTTATCTGAAGACGAGGCCACGGTTGGTGAAAGTGCAGGCTGCTCGGGCCTGGTGGCTTGACGGTATGCTATCTGTAGATGTGAGATAAAGGAAGTAAAGTCCAAGAGTTGAGTCGAGTGCCGAGGAGAGGAGAGTCTCGTTGCTGATGGAATCGAGACTGTTTGGATGTGATGGAGGAGGGGGATAATCCGCGTCTCAGATGCTGTCTATGAGCTCTAAGCCGAGTCAATCTAGATATCTAAAGAAAAGAAAAAATATCACGATATGGCTCTGAGAGGTGCCCCAAAGCAGATTGAAGGTAATTGTTCGTCGAGTTCATGGGGCAGCATTGAACTTCATGTTCATCATCTCCAGTCTCACTCGTCAGTTTTCAGCTTTCAGATTTTGCCGTGCACAGCCACACTAGCCCCTCGTAGAGCACAGCCACAATTACCCCTCCCTCCTCGCTCTTCTCCTCAGCCTTACAGCAGGGCTGCCCGTATCAGCCTCGTTTTTGCCTCGGTCCCCTATAACCCGCCTGAAAGTGCCCTAGAATCGCCCTACAGCAGCACCCGCTCATAGGTGCTACAGCGCTATGCCCAGTGTGGTTTCAGCGCGCTCTGGCCGCTAAACGGCCTCCATGCAGGCTGCCAGCTGGAGTGGGCGGGGTTCCACCGGCACTTTTACTGCGCGGCAGCGGACTGATGCCATTGATTGACACCAGATGATGATTCAACCGATCCAATACAATTGATACAATATTCGACACGAGATATCAATGCTGCTGCTGCTGCTGCTACTACATACTACAACTCTTTGCATGTAGATATAAAGCACTGTTACACACCCTCATGCTCGTACATACATCAGCACATGTCTGGCCGCTGAAAGCGACTTTTCCATTGCCCCCCTCACCTTGATGCTTCAAGTGAGGTGAGCCCATATCCAGTCAATCACTTACACGCCCCTCCAAGACGCACGACCGGCAACATCAAGGCACAGCTACAGGCCCATGTTTGGAAGGTAGAATCTATCCTTCATCACCGCCTCATTCCCTCATCCAGTCCTCTGTGCATGTACACTTGTGCTCCCTCTCTGGCTTGAGCACATGCATATCAATGCATCTCAGAGACGGAGGATTCAGTACTGCTACCTACCTACCTCTCATCGCCTCGACACGTCCGAGACATGCATATGAATGGGCACATGAGGCATCAGTTCCACACAGCGAGTGCTGCTACGATGCAATACCACACCAGCCGCGAGAGATGCCACCTCCATCGACTCTATAATTAGCAATTCTCAGCAGAGACATGCTCAACGCCATCCTCAATGTAACGCCACATGCATCTCGCCGTCCCGGTACAAGCACAAAGCACGCTGTAAGCGCCTTGCCTTGTCTCGAAATTGCTGGATTACACAGATAGGACGTATTGTTGCACCCATGCGTCAGGCCAGAAGCATGCCGGCATGACGCAAGATGATCAATATTGCAATGGAATGACGGATGAAAGAGGGAGGGGCGTGCATCTCCTTGTGTGAGAGAATGAAAGAGCGTGAGGGCCAGCATCTGAATCCTCCAGACCAAACAAATTCCTGAATGGGGGATACACGCCCCTATGCTTCATTTATACTTTGTTGCTTGTCATCTGTCTCTCTATTGATTGAACATGATTCTGATTACTGATCAGATGAAAGATTGGAGGCTTGATCCTCAATTCATTATTGTATTCTTTCTGCTCCCGTCTGGATGTCCTTGATTGATCCAAGCCCTGCCAATCAGCTTGGCAAAGCACAGCTCCTTTCTCAATTAATCCCATTCAATCCTTCGCTGCGCCCAGAATACATACATCTAGTTTTAAGCAAAGGCCTCCTCTCGGTCATCACTCATTAGAAGTTGGCAGAGAAGAAAAGCGGCGCCGCCGTTGCAACAATCGCCTCGAGCCTGTCAAACGTCGACATGTAGTCCTCTGAATTTGCATTGCACAACAGAACACGGTGCTTCCGTAGGTAGCTTAGAAAAGGAGCAAAAAGCCCATCTCAAGTTATTGGCCAACGGTACACTTTCGTTACGAAATATAACATATGTTCCTTGTAAAACACGAGGCACGCGAGATACAAAATACAAGCCAATCTCACCCCGTTTCCCCATATAGAGCACGAAGTAGATTGTAGCATGAGAGTAAGCATAAGGTACATTTCATAATTCTACGCGAACAAGACGCTCCTCGCACTAGGCGGCGGGCAACTCGAACAAACGGGGAGTGAATCTTGGATCAAATCGATTACATAGACCAGCCGCCCTTACTCATTGCCATCCTTGACTATAAAAGAATCGGATGAGGTCAGGCCAGCCTCTTTTTTATGTAGTTCGTTATAATACGGGTTTAACATGAAGACCCTGCTGCTGACTAGGTACGACAGGATGCCCTCCCAGAAGATATGTCAGGCATAAGACCTATCGTACTCTTATTGCTCCTTTGACTCTTGTGAAGTCATCATTAAGCACTCCGTTCATTCATCCGTCTTCCATGACATTGCTGAGGCACAATCACTGCTCGTATGTGTATATACCCCGGGCATCAGGCTGTAAGTGTCAGCCTCCATTGCTCCCTTGTACCCGGTACCCTGCCAGTCCGGGGCCATCACCCCCAGCTTACTGGTATCCGGGACTATCCGGGACTCGCAACACAGCTCGCCACAAATTTCCTCTTACGGCATTGCTCTGATTCGGGCGTCCAGGAGACTGTCACGTTCAGGTTCAACATCAAGCATCGAAATACTTTTCTCTAAACGAACCTCGGTTGGCACAGGTACAATCGTCCATGTGTACCTATATTACATGCGTCCTCTTGGCTCAGCAGGACGGGGTCACGCCAATACATCTCGTATCACGTCCATAGGGGAGGGCTACAACCTGCTGAGTTTGTCAACATCTCAACAAACACACCGTCTTCCCTCTGACAAACAATAAACCATGATCAGCCCTGCAATGCTAATACAGACGGACAGGCCCCGGAGAGATAATAGATGCCGCCTCCCGATCCCTCCAATTTTTCCTTGAAGTGGCATCTCCCCTCTCCCCCGGAATTTCCTTTTCAAGCCTGTATCATCATCTATGTATACTCTTCTTTTAGTCTTCGCTTATTACATACAACGAACCCACGTTCTGTCTTTTCTCTTCACCCCTCTCAACAATCTTGTCAGCACAAAACAGCAATATAGCACAAACATTACCGTCCATAACGCCAGCCATTCTATGACAACTAGTATTCAAGACAATCCATGCAGTCAATGAACAAGGCTCTCTTTTTCGCGCTCCCGCAGATCCGCATCACGCACACGACCGCGGACGCACGGAAGCATACAGTACATGTCATGCCCCCCTCTCCCCATCTCTCTGTATCACTGCCCTTCACTTCATCATTACGTGACGTTACTCAAAAGAACAACCGGTTGCCCAGCCCGCCCAACAAAAACTGAGATGGTGTGTCCCCGTCATCTTGTCTGGCCCAGATGCCGTCCGAGTGCTACCTCTTGTCGTAGCACAGGCTTGCCATCCTTCTCCTGCTCCTGCTCCTCCTCCTCCTCCCATACATATGTGTACCACCTTGGACTACATACTTGTACATACACCACGCTCCTCCCTTCTTCACATACATACAAAGCAGTATCACCTTGCGGAGTAGAATGTCCCTCGTAATAATATACCTACCACTTCTGCAAGAAACGGGCAGATCCTACACCCACTCTTTCTATCAATCGAGGCGCCTTGTACTCCCTACACGCAAACGGGTAAGACCGTACTCTCCGTCCGCACGACTCGCAGCAGGGAAATGTAAGACACTCGGTAGTACAGCGCAAGTACGTGCGACTCGGCCATGGCAGTTCTCGGTCCAAGTATGCATGATTTTAGTGAGGGGAGGGGAGGATTGGGGATGATAGAGAGAGAGAGCGAGAGAGAGCGAGAGAGAGAGAGAGAGAGAGGCTGCGGGCTTATGCCCTTAGCTGCATCTTCGTGGGCTCTGAGAATCCTTCGTCTCGTCCGTGGGAGCAAATTCGTCAAACATTAAAGCGAACCGTAAAATGATCAATCACAATGTGTAAAAGGCAATATTTGTCAAGCGCCATTCAGAGCAATCATTATAAACGCGCCTTTTGAGCAGTCATGGCGATATTGTTTTGCAAGCAGAGGAGCCATACATGTACGCCTCGGAAGCATCTCAGAATTTCATCACCTTTTTACCCGGAACACACTATTATACACCGTCTAGCCTCGTCACTCCTTTTGAACATCAGATTCTCGCCATCTTCCGTGCTTCCTCAGAGAAATATCTCAGGTGCCGTAGGTGCCGCCCCCTCCATCTCGTAGCCGGATCGCCTTGAGCCGGAAGGACTGTGAAGCCTCCCGATGGGACCTCGTCATCCTCTGTCATACCTGTTACTGCCCATCAAAAGCCGTACGTAAGATCGCAGTGGCAGAAAACAGTCAGAGAAACCGAGGCAGGGAAATGAAACGCCTCTTGATCTTCTGCTTTTGCTCCCTCGCCGCATGGGGTGGCACCACCTTCAGGCGACCAACAGCCGGCTTCCCCATCCCAGCAGCCCGCCGAGAACGACATCTGTATGTCAGCCGTTCCGGTCTGATGTTGCCAATGGGCATCCCTTGTCCTTTGCTCGCTGGCGCCGTCGCACGACGGCTGGCTGAGCATTCTGCTGTGCTTCCACCTAAGCCCGAGTGAGGGTAGGGCTTGGGTCATGTATCTGGGGACCAGGGTCTCACACGCTCAGCCCAACCAGAAGCCGTTCATCGCCAGCCACTTGCGTCCGGCCTCAAGATTAGTGCCAGTCTTCCGCACGGGGAGGGTTTGCGACGGCTCCTACGCCTGGGCAGCCAGAACCCGATGGGCTA